TGGTTTTGGTCCAAAAATATCCATTTTTGCAACTTTTTTTTTAAGGCAATATAAGCCAGAAAAATGTCTTTTACCACACTATAAAACTAGAAAACGCCTTTCTAGCCTATAAAACCAAGAAGTTCATAAAGTCAAAAAATTGACATTTTTTCCAAAGGGGTTAACCCATGGTTTTGGTCCAAAAATGGCCATTTTACCAACTTTTTTTTTTAGGCAATATCGGCCAGGAAAATGTCTTTTACGATATTCTAGAACGAAAAAACGCCTTTCTAGGCTATAAAAACAAGAAGTTCAAAGAGTCGAAATATTGACATTTTTTCAAAGGGGTTAATCCATTGTTTTGGTCCAAAAATGGCCATTTTTCCTCCTTTTTTTTCCCATATAGGCCAGGAAAACGTCTTTTACGATATTCTAGAACGAAAAAAAGCCTTTCTAGGGTATAAAATCAAGAAGTTCAAACAGTCGAAAAATTCACATTTTTCCAAAGGGGTTAACACTTGGTTTTGGTCCAAAAATGGCCATTTTTGCAACTTTTTTTTTTAGGCAATATAGGATAGAAAAATGTCTTTTACCATACTATAAAACACGGAAACGCCTTTCTAGGCTATAAAAACAAGAAGTTCAAAAAGTCGAAAAGTTGACGTTTTCCAAAGGTGTTAACACATAGTTTTAGTCCAAAAATGGCCAATTTTTCCAATTTTTTTTTTTAGGCAATATAGGCCCGGAAAATGTCTTTTCCGATATTCTAGTACGAAAAAATACCTTTCTAGGCTATAAAAACAAGAAGTTCAAACAGTCGAAAAATTCACATTTTTCCAAAGGGGTTAACCCATGGTTTTGGTCCAAAAATGGCCATTTTTGCAACTTTTTTTTGTAGGCAATATAGGATAGAAAAATGTCTTTTACCATACTATAAAACAAAAAAACGCCTTTCTAGGCTATAAAAACAAGAAGTTCAAAAAGTCGAAAAGTTGACGTTTTCCAAAGGTGTTAACAAATAGTCTTAGTCCAAAAATGGCCAATTTACCAACTTTTTTTTTTACGCAAAATTGGCCAGGAAAATGTCTTTTACGATATTCCAGAACGAAAAAACGCCTTTCTAGGCTATAAAAACAAGAAGTTCAAAAAGTCGAAAAAATTGACATTTTTCAAAGGGGTTAACCCATGGTTTTGGTCCAAAAATGGCCATTTTTCCAACTTTTTTTTTTAGGCAATGTAGGATAGAAAAATGTCTTTTACGATACTTTAAAACAAAAAAACGCCTTTCTAGGCTATAAAAACAAGAAGTTCAGAAAGTCGAAAAATTCACGTTTTGCAAAGGGGTTAACCAATAGTTTTAGTCCAAAAATGGCCATTTTACCAACTTTTTTTTTTAGGCAATATCGGCCAGGACAATGTCTTTTACGATATTCTAGAACGAAAAAACGCGTTTCTAGGCTATAAAAACAAGAAGTTCAAAAAGTCGAAAAATTGACATTTTTCCAAAGGGGTTAACCCATGGTTTCGCTCAAAAAATGGCCATTTCTCCAACTTTAGTATTAAAGCAATATAGGCAAGGAAAATGTATTTGACCATATTCTGCAACGATAAAACGCCATTCTGGGCTATAAAAAGGGAAATTCAAAAAGTCGAAAAATTGAGTTTTTTTCGAAGGGGTTTATAACCTATGGTTTTGGTTCAAAAATGGCAATTTTTCCATATTTTTTTTGTAGAAAATATAGGCCAGGACGATGTGTTGTACGATATTCATGAACGATAAAAAAAAGAAATTCAAAAGGTCGAAAAATTGAGATTTTTCCAAAGGGCTTAACCCATGGTTTTGGTTAAAAACTGGCCATTTTTCCATCTTTCTTATTTAGGCAATATAGGCCAGGAAAATTTATTGGACCATATTCTACAACGATAAAACGCGTTTCTAGGCTAGAAAAACAAGAAATTCAAAAGGTCGAAAATTTGAGATTTTTCCAAAGGGAAACCCATGGTTTTGTTAACCCATGGTTTTAGTCAAACACTGGCCATTTTTCCATGCTTCTTAATTAGGCAATATAGGCCAGGAAAATTTATTTGACCATATTCTACAACGATAAATTTCTTTTCTTGGCTATAAAAACAAGAAATTCAAAAAGTCGAAAAATTGAGATTTTTCCAAAGGGGTTAACTTATGGTTTTGGTCAAAAAATGGCCATTTTTCTATGCTTTTTTTAGGCAATATAAGGCACTAAAATGTGTTTTCCTATAGTCTACATCGATAAAAGGCCCTTTTCTAAGCTATAAAAACAAGAAGTTTAAAAAGTCAAAAAAGTGAAATTTTTTTTTAATGGTGTTAACCCAAAATGCTTGTGAACACAAGAAAGAAAAACGCAGGTTAATTGCTAATCGGCCTTCAAACAACTCGGCCCTGGAGGACCAGGGTGCTGCTTAGTCTGACCCCTCTTCCTTAGACCTATATGGCATAGTGAAACCTACCAGGAGTAGAAGCTCTCGCCATCATAGCTCTAAGAGTCACAGGCACATGCAAGCTTCCTTGCCATGTCAAGGCACGTATGCCTAATCAGTTCAGTCTGACAGTAGACAATGGAAAAATTTTGATAGAAGATTCTGATAACAGTTTCTGGAAGGGGGGATCCTGATTCTATGTTCCTGTTCCTTTTTCACAAAAATCCAGCATCCCACACTTTTCTCATTGCCATCCCGAATCCTGCGTTTAGTTTCCAAAACATGCAAGTTAAAAGACTTATTGCTGTAAAAGGTTATAAATGTGAGATGTAGATTGGCCCTTTTGAGTGATATAATTTTTCAATTTATGCAAAAAAAGTAGCTTTTCATACAGACAAAGCATAATATATAAGAAACAAAACAGGAAAGAGGAGGATTTTTCTTCCTCTCTCAGTCCCCACCCCTTGGTGTTTCCCTGCTTACTTTTCTTTGCGCCACCTTCACTATCTGAATGTCTGGAGGAGGCACAAGAAAGAACGATACCAAAACTATGACTGTCTGATTCAAACGAGCAGAGCTGAGAGACATTTTAAAAAATACAAGTCACTATTTAACCATGTTATGCTAGCAGCAGACGCACTATCCTGGCATTCGGTTTTAACAGTGGGTCTTCTGTCATTTTCTGTCTGCTCGTCTGTTCATTATTACTCGACAGCTTAGATAATTTGCTTTGAGAGATAAGGGAGACACCACTGTATGCTTGCCTGGCTGATTCACACCAGCTGCTAGGACATACCAATTCCTGAATTCACAACAGACAGGCAGGAAAATCCCAAATCCTGTGCCCAAATTCTGTTGAATCCTGTTTCCCGGTTGGTAGTCAAATCCCATTTCCCGTCAAGATATTTTGCGATTACCCGCATTCCGAACCATGTTTTGGTAGATTCCCGGAGCCCGAAAATACCCTTCAAGACCCTGTGAGAAATATATGTATCATGACCTGTGTCATGTTTTCCATGTAAACATAAGAATATCCACTAATGGTGGCTCAAATGCCAGTAGCCGGAAAAAAAAGATCGCACATGAGTGTCTTATAGGACTATTTGGACTTAAAAGGGTTACCTGAAGGTCCATGGTGGTCCTCCATAATTGTTTCTTTCGAGTTTCAACTATGTCCATAACCTGCCATCTGTAGCAGCAGATGCCAGGAAACAGTTTTAATGTCTAAATATAGTCGAAATTATCAACACTGGACTAAGTGTTGGCAGCTTGTTCGAAGGCCAATAGGATGCTTGGCTTTCTCTGCACATGATCAGCTTTTGACATTTATGACCAGTGAGCTCGCAAGCTACTTTACCTGTCACTAGTTCGCAGCAACCTCGCATATTGCTCGCAGGTGTGGGCTCCTCAAGCTGTTAATCTTACCCTTGACATTGAAAGAATTCAGCGGCGCGCAACAAAATTTATTCTGTCTTTGCCATATCAGTCTCACGTTAGTTATTAGTAGAGACTTTTGGAAACTGGGCTACTACCATTATGTTATTGGCAGGAATTTTTAGATTTGGTGTACGTATTCAAATGTTTAGTCAGTCTATCGGATCCTTTTATTTCAGTCATGAATTCCACTAGACTCAGGCGTACTGTCTCCTCCAAGGGTACGCTGTTGAATACGATTAGGGCCAACACTGTCACCTTTGAGAACAGTTTTTACTGTAGAGCCCCAAGAATCTGGAAAACTTTACTAGCCCAGCTCCGGAACACTGACTGTTCAGTAGCGCGCTTCAAGAAAGATCTTTTTAATCACTACTTGTATCTTACTTATAAGTCTGTTTATGATGTCGACACCTGCCAAACCTTTAAGAGTGTGTATTAAGTGCCACACTAGTCGGCCATTGAATGGCTTGCTTGATCGTTTGTGTTGTTGATTTTTCATCGATGTCCTCCCCAATCCTACTAAGCCTTTGCATTTCTTTTTTTTGTCGTTTCTATTAAAGTATTGTCATTCTTGTTAGTTGTATTACTAATTTTCTTTTTGTTTTCTAGACCTCGTAGTGGAGCTTGCTCTGTGAGTGATCCAGGCCTCTTGGCGAAGTTTATAAATAAATAAATTATTTTTGGAATTCAACTGACGCAAATTTAATACACCTTTTAGCTCAGTTTTTAAGAAGAGAACAAACAGCGTGGTATTGGTTTGCAACCACGAGACAAGGCGGCCATGTTGGGGGGAAAACAAAAGAATATTTCCTCGAAGAATTTACATGAAAATAGAGTTTAGTTCCCAGAGGAGAGAAATGCTTTTGTTCTTGACCACCAACATGGCCGCCGTGACGTCACGTGCAAACCAGCAATAAAGCTCAACTCACCGACTGATCTGACTCCTGCACGTCTGTCAGATACTGAACAATCTGTAAATGTGACAAATTTGATTCCTCATAAAACTTAAAACTTTAAGGAAAAGACAAAACTCCGCACAAAACTACCAGAGAAGTAGCTGGAAATGGTTGGCCGTGTGCAAAGCCTTAGCAAAGCCCGGGGGAGCACGGGGAGATTTTACTTTTGGAACCCAGTCCCCTTAGAGCAAAGATGGCGGACAGAGCAGAGACGACATCGTGAAGAGATTTCCTACCTAAATGCGCCCAGAATAAGATTCTTAATGGATCTTTTCAGAGTAGAGAGGTACATGGGAGAGGATGTAGACCAGGAAAATCAACAGGGTGAATCGTTAAGGTTGACACGACTGCAACGCGACATTGATAATCGAAAAAGAAAGAGAAATCTTGAAGGCAAGCACGTGTTTTCTGGTAATGAGTCGAAGGCTTTGGACCTTCAGCATCGTTTGTCGGAAGTGCAAGGAGAGAGAGCTGAGAAAGCTAAGAAAAAGAAAACAAAATCCGCCTCAGAAGGGCACAAATCAAAGAAGAAAAGGTCTTTGAATGACGACAGTGATGAGTCAACATCAAAATGTCCAATCATGGAAACTTCTGATGATCATGGGTCTTTGGAGAATGAGTCAGTGGAAAAACGACCAAAGAAGAACAAGGTGAAAGGTTCCAAAAACAATATTAAGGCAAAGAAACGTTCGACGGACAGCTTAATTACAGAAGCTTTAGATGACGATATTGATATTTTTGTTGGTTCGGACTCTTTGTCTGAAAATTCAGGAGAGAAAAATGGTAATAAAAGAAAGGAAAAGAAATCTAAGAAAAAACTGAACACGACGTCTACCATTAAAGGTCTTACTGCAGAAGATCATGTGGAGAGAAAAGCTGAGGTTTCTGTTGATTCAGAGGTGAAAATGGTTGTAGACAAAGAGACAGACATTGAAAGAGAAGACGTTGAACATGGTGAAATTTCTCTAGACATCCCTGAAGAAAAGCTTGCAGAAGATAACAAAGAAACAGGATTTACTGTTATTGGTGGACATAAGAGGGTCAGGGAAGCAAAAAAGGTGCAAAGGATGTTACCCAAGTGGATTGCAAACCCTGTAATTATAAGCTCAGACTTTGAAAGCGCTATTCTGCCAGTGGAACAAATACCTTACCTAGATGCTTTTATAATTAATAAACTGCAAAAGCGTGATATAAATCACTTATTTCCTGTACAGAGCGCTGTGATCCCCTCTATTTTGTCACAGATGGAAAATTACACCTTTTTTGGCAGGGGTGGTTACCAACCTAGCGACATCTGTGTGTCTGCTCCTACGGGAAGTGGTAAAACTCTGGCTTATGTATTGCCTATTATACAGAGCCTTCTTCAAAGAGTTGTGTGCCACTTGCGAGCCTTAGTCATACTTCCAACCAAAGATCTTGCAAATCAGGTCAAACAGGTTTTTGAAATGTTTACAGAAGAAACAAAGTTAAAGGTGGGTCTGGCTTCGGGATCAAAATCGTTTTTAAAAGACCAGGAACAGCTTGTTAATCATGGGTGAGTTTCTTTTATACCTTGTTTTATGTTATCAAGTTTCAGGCTCGATTTCCAGCCACTGTTTGTGAAAATGACCCTGCACTCTTCCCCTTGAAAGAGTATTTCTTCAAGGAAGACTATTGACTAACCCAGGAGACGGCAGAAGTCCAGCCCAATAAAGATTGAGTGATGATGTTACAGTGCACCCAGGAAAACCGTGAACACTCGAAATATCTCAGGAATGCTATTAATAATAATAATAATAATATTTATAGAGGGAGCCCAACTCGCCAAGGCGGTTTTTGTCCTATTGTCTTGCAAGGAAAAAGCCAATCAGGTGTGAGAAAACTAAACCGCAAGCAAGAACGTTAATTAGTTTTTTGGTTTAGTGGCCAGTCTTCACTGTGATTGTTCATAACACAATAAACATTCCTGAGATTTTTCAAGTGTTCACGGTTTTCCCGGTCACACTGTAATTTAAACCCATGAACAATAGATGGGTGAGGGAAAGGTGCCTGAACAAACTGAGGTGCCACAAACAAGCGGCAGAAGGTATCCATGACAACCGCTGTGAGTGAAATGATTGACCTCAGCAAAAGCACTGTAAAGTCACTAGAGCCTCGCAAATGCCTGAGACAGCTGGTCAGTGATTTTAACCTTGCCTAAATTAATTTAGCCACGTGAAATAGGTTTTTCATTTGAAATGAGGCTAAATAAAATTAGAGCAAGGTTAACCCAAAACAGGCTCTATTTTTGAGCATGGGCTCTGTGGGGTTGCCTGTCATACACATTGTAGCATATAGGGCTGCTATGCTGTTTTCAGAATATGATCTACAATACCTCCCCCCCCCCCTCAAGGGAACCTCCCCTTTTCCTCTCCAAGGAAAGAATTTGTATGCAAAGGATGAACTTACATGCAACAATATTCATTGCCGTGATGTCACATGTACACACCTGTCACTGTGTTTTGCAGTTCTGTTGGAGGTAGCAGCCGTGTTGACATACTTGTCTGTACTCCTGGAAGACTGGTTGATCACATCACATCTACTCCACACTTTGTTCTTCATCACGTACGGTTTCTTGTGATTGATGAAGCAGATCGATTGTTAGATCAGTCCTATCATGGCTGGCTGGGAAAAGTTCTCAAAGCTGCATATAACAAGCAATATACTGCAGAAGGTCCCATCAGCAACAACAGGTACAGGCATCCCAAAAAATTTATTTAACCAACAAAGAAGCCTTGACTGTGCTCTGTTCAGTAGTGAAGCACAAGAAAGGGGCTAGAGAACAAAGAAGTGAGGAGGGAAACATGAGACAAAGTTCAGTGTTTCGTCCTACTTCTTGAGTGCTCTAGCCACTTCCTTTCAGTGTTTCTGTGATCACCTCTTAATAACCATTATACAGCTAGTCAAGAAAAGGTTCATCAATATACATAATTCTCAAAGCTACATGAAAAGTATTATACCTTGTGGACCACTTATGAGAAATTGCTTGCTGTAAACCATAGACAGGACTAGACTACTCTGGTCTGGCCTTTTTTTGTTCAGGTAACTATCCCTTTTTCTCTTTTGTTATTTTCTTTTTCTGACACTAAACATTTTGAGGTGTGGAAATCACCCAGCCTCTTGATTAGTTTAGGGTACAGGATCTCATATTTTTTGTCTTTTTCATGCTTTTAGTTCCATATGTTGTAACCTTCAAACAGTCAGAAATCCCCCTGGCCAGCAGACAGTTGCATGTTTCGGTACCATTCAGCTGCCTCTGCAAAAACTGCTGTTCTCTGCAACAATGACCCACAGCCCAGAAAAACTTGCTCCACTACAGCTTTATCAACCTATGTTGTTTACTGTTATGGGAAATGTCAATCAGAGAGACCAAAGAGTTTCTCCTTCAGGTATTTGGCAGTACTAATACACTACCAAAATAAAGGCTGACTGAAATATGTACTTGGCACTAGTTCTTACAAAAGTGGTTGATAATCGAGCCCAAAGCCCCTTATGACTTCTGGGCCCACTTGTTCAAAAGGTGGATAACGCTATCCACTAGATAAATCTCTATCCAGTGGATAGCGCAATTGATTTCCCTAATACTTATCCACTGAATAGCAATTTATCCGGTTGATAGCGCTATCCAAAGTTTGAACAACCAGAGCTTGACTGATAATTAGCTTCTTCACATTGCCGTGAATTTGCACATGAAATAAGGGAGAATTTGAACTTCAGCTTCACTTTACTTGGGTTTTTTAAAAACTGTCTATGCACACCAAATCCAAAAGGAAGTTGAGGTGCGCAGTTTCAATGGTTTTGTTAGCTCACTACTGGAAGACTTCTTTACTATGAAACTCAGAAAACCATGATCACCAGAAGTATTTTTGGAATGTTGTTGTGTTGAAGGAAATTTAAAGCCAATCAGGTATGAGAAAAATTAACTGCAGGCACCATCAGTAATTAGTTTGTGTATTTGTGGCTTGCTCATGTGCCTTGATCTTTTTGGGGGTTGGATATAACACAATAAACTATCCTGAAATAATTCAGGTATAAATTTAAAGTTTTATGATTTTGACAGTTAACTGTTAGATTCTCTTTGTAATTCTCCTTTAACACATGAATGCTTGTAAAACAGAATAAGAATTTGGAATCAGATCAGGAGTCAATTGTAGGCTATTTTCTTGGGCACTCTGCCAGTTTATTGTCTACTGCAGGGCCATAGAAAGATGTTTAGAACAGAAGAGGCAACTGTATTGAGCACTATAGATGCGAGTGTCCAGAACACCCTTAAACAATAACTTTGTCCAGTTAAACACTAGCAAGTGTTTGCTTTTCATGATAGACTTAACTGGGACAATCTCAGTGCTATGAAAATACGTATTTGTGTACTGAGGAATAGTAGCATGACATGCAGAGCTCTCTAAGGCCAGTGACACCTGGGCACACTTGTCAATTGATTTGCTACTGTTTCTTCAAAACGTAATGACAGCCTTGACATGTCATTATCTCTTAGTTTCCACAGACCCCTCTGGTGCTTCAGTGCGATACAGCATTCCAGAGGGCCTGACAGAATACATGACAGTTTGTAACAGTGGAGAAAAACCCTTGGCAGTGTTGTACTTCTTAACACAGCTCAAGTTTCAGCGAGTTTTATGTTTTGCATCATCACTGGAAGCTACACACAGGTACAGTAGGTCAACACCAGCCTGTAAAAGCAGGCATGATGCCAGTTATTGTCACTTGGCTTCCTTTTTTGTTCCAATAGTGACCCACATCCAATTTCTCCCAACAATAACACTGCATGATCAAACAGACAGGTCATAAGAATGAATCAAATAATCACCAAAGATGAAATGTTGTGATGTTAAAACAAATTCTCTCAAGCAGTACCATAAGGAATGTATGAAGAACAGTGTGGAGAAGATGCATGTTGATGCTGGGGCTTAAAGGGTTAAATTAACATGACGTGCAACCCATGCCACTCAGCAAGTTCTGTGTTGTACAAATTGTTAGCTTATAACTGTTTTACTCTTACAGCTGTACATTACTTTTTGGGCAAAGAGAAACGACAACTAAATATTCATCTGCATTTACAAACTTGTGGAAATTTTCAATACGATAGAACCTTGATATAATAAGTGAACCTTTATATAATTACCAAGTCCTCAGTAAAAGGAATGATTTTCTTTTCCACAGTAATAGTGAGATATATGGAAAAGAACCTTAGTATAATAGAACCTCATTATAGCTTCAAATTTTGTCAGTCCCTTGGCAACCTCATTCCCAGGGCTCTCTCCTACCTGTCCCTACAGAGCGATGAGTAGGAGAGAGCCCTGGGAAGGAGGTTGGGTTCCACCCTAGTTTTCAAAAGAAATTTTTTGACTCAAAATTTGATTGTTTTTTCAGAATTTAATTTTTTAAAATACTGAAACGCTAATATTGCATCCTGTGAAAGTACATGTACTGTTGAGGATGTTTCAGTACATTGTAGGTGTAACACAAGTTGAGAGACTAAAAAAGTTGGGGCTGCAAAGTTCCTTAGTGACTGTAGGATTGCAATGATGATGAAATCTAAATAGACCTGTATTTAGCTTTGTTGTTCTGTTGCTCCAATGTGGATTTAGTAAGCATTCTTTTTCAAACTGGTTCTTCTTGCGCACTCTTTTTCCGAGGAAAATAGAATTCAGATCTCAGGGTCATAGAGCAAAAATTGTTATCACAGTCAATACTGTTAACCCTTTTAGCCCCAATATCCACATACAAATTCTCCAAACTGATCCCATACATCTCCTTTAAGAATTAGTTGAGAGAATTTGATTAAAGATCATAGAATTTTCTCAATGATGATCATTTTATTAATTCTCATAACTTTATCTCTTGACAGTGTATGGATATTGTTAGGAGAAAATTGTTGTTGGTAACTATTGGGACTTAAAGGGTTAAGTGTTGGTATTAATGTGGTGTCCATATTAAGCAGGTTGAATTTCTTTGCCCAGAAAAGAAAACCGTCCGTACTACGCAGGATTTGATTTAAATATTTCCTACCTGAAGGCAAGATGGCCTAAACTGTCTGCTTTGGACCACAAACCAAAAGTGAAATCTTTTTTATTTTCAACAGACTGTATCTTCTTGTGAAGCTCTATGGTGGAGTAGAAGTTGCCGAATACTCCTCTAGTTTGACACCACAACAGCGTAAGGCAGTCCTCAGAGATTTCCGATCAGGCAAAGTTCAGCTTCTCATCTGCTCAGATGCCATGGCAAGAGGAATGGACATCGAGGATGTGTTGTTTGTGATCAGTTATGATGTGCCCAACTTTATCAGGAGTTATATTCATCGTGTGGGTAGGACGGCAAGAGCTGGGAACAAAGGTATGTACTATAGCACACAGGACTCCAAGCTGACTGCTGGATATCACACACACCAGACAATAGCTCAATGGCAGTCAAGTGAAATTAAACTAAAGGAATAACTTCAAAGCTAAGGTTGTCATTTTGAGTGTTCAAAGGTCATTTCCTGGCCAATATACTGTTATCATTTTTTTTTTGGCTTTTTGTACTTACCGGAAAATTTTTATTCAACTTCATTGTGTATTTTGTTTCTTTATGTTTACCAGGTACTGCCATCACACTTTTGCACAGTGAAGAGGTACATCATTTCAGAGAACTGATAAAAAAAACTGGGCGTGAAAAGATCTCGAAATACAACATAAAAGAAGACAAACTTCAATCGATGGTGGACAAATACCAGGAAACGCTGGCAAGACTACAAGATACTGTCAAGTTGGAGAGTCAAAAGAAATCACAGCCAAGAGGAAAGCAACAAATAACAAAGTTGTTACAAGAACAGTTAATGAACAATCTTGAACAAAAACGGTGAAATACCGGCAAAATGTTGGTTTCAGTGAGCCAGCAGACAGAACAAACTGAATTATTCTTTATAGAGGCAGCAAAAATTTCAGGAGATGATATCAATGGCCTTGAACCAAAAGACTAAAACATGATTCATTCTTCTTTCATGAAATATTGCTTTATTTCCTGTTTGCCATGTATAGTTCTATTAAGCATTAGATTAATAAAGTCATTTCAGCATTTCAAACACCAAAACTTTGCATACTTGTTTACATTCACTTTGTATCATTAAATAAAAGTGTATTTGACCCAAATTTGTACAGTAGCAACCCAAAGATAAATCCATAGAAAAAATACCACCTCTCACCCCAAAATTTGATAGTATTGCATTAACGGGGGAAAAATATTTCTAACAACAGTGTGCAGAATACAAAATAAGGTTTGAAAAATTGATGCTAAAATTTCACTGTATAAGTCAGTGAAGCAATCCTTGCCTGCAAGGGGTACTGATATGCAAAATTCATTATTCTAGATCTTCTGAAACTCATGGTCATTGCTCATTGCGCAAGCATATCATTGCTCATTGCTATAATATTCCTCCACAAAAAACATGAAATGTTTAGGACTTTCAAGGATAAGCAGTGCCAGATCAAGAAGGACATTAGGTATGAAATGTACAACTCCCAGTCTTTGAGGTTAAGAAAATTGTGTAAAATGCCCATGCTAACACAGATAATGTTACTACTAGCCTAACTAGCTTGTGAAATTTACCACGGGGGACCACTTTAATCCATTCATGAAAGTGCTTTTGGCTGTAAAGGTGCAACAAGAACACCTGCCAAAAGCTGCTGTTCTCTCTGATCCTAAACTACTTTGCCTCTTGCATCATTATTTAGTTGTCTTATGTTCTCCCCTGGCTTATAACTGCACGTTTTGAATCCCACCTTACAGGATTTTGCTCAAATAATTTTTAACACTTTTGGTGCTTTCCATTCAGTCAAAACTTTTTCAAAAACTTGGAAACAGCAACAAATGGTACAGAAAATTTCCAGAAATTGCAAAAGCTGTTGAATTTCTGAAATGTAAACAATTCAACTAAAACTTCTTAGAAATTCTGGGAGCAAAGTCGAATGGAAAGAAAACTTCCAAGAAAAAATTTGTGAAAAATTTTGGTCTACCTCGTGAGATTGTCTTCTTTTTCAGAAATTTTGGAAATGCTGTTCTGTTTGTTACTGGAAGTTGCAGAAAATTCAAACCAGATGTTTTGCTTGAATGGAAAGCACCCCTAGTTTTTACTACAGTTAGAACGAGCCTTCTTCTTATGAGATAAGGTCTTGAACTTAAGGATCAAGAATGAAGGTTTTTGGTTTCTTAGCCTCATGATAAAGCAACCGATCAGAAGAGCAGCCATGACATTTGTTGCAAAAAAGATGCTCTGCACATTGCTAGAACTGAATGAAACAAACTTGAGTATGGCTGCTTTGACCTGTGTACATTAAACTCCATGTGTGGGAGAATACTTTCCTTACAATTCTGGGATGTCCTGCAATTCTCCTTCAGAAAAATATGACAACCAGTTTTACCAGGCAAAAGCCCTCTGATGCAGTTTACTGTTACCTTAAACACTTAGTACACTGGGGGCTTTTCCACAGTTCCTTTTCGCTTTCCACATAAACTTCTTTTTAAGCAGACGATACATAGCTCATTTCCCTCCCTAGAATCTTGGCTGACGAGATGAAAGCTCAGAAATCCATGGGGTAAATCTTCTAAGATGTAAAGTTCCACATCCTTTTCCAAGGAGCGAAGCCTTCGTGCAAACTCAACTGAGTCATCCAAGATGGGATCCAATGAACATGCCTGTAGTGGAAAAAAATACAGTCAAACCTCTGACTATTAACTCTTGAGTTTCAAGAGTGACCAACATCAATTTTCTCCCAATAACATTAATACATATGAAAAGAAAAGGTGATGAGAAGAAATGGAATGATCCCTTAGGGAAAATGATTTGATCTTTAAACAAATTCTCTCATGGAAATAGGTCTGTATGGTTTTTCTTTGTGGATATTGGTGCTTAAGTGTCCATCATTAAAGATTGGACAAGAGGCTGCTAAGACTAAGAGGCGATCACCATGGTGCAAAAGAGGTAAAATCAAAGAAACATACCACTAAATCAATTGGAGGCAAACTTCTCAGCATTTCATCAGAGGCCAGAAGAGGAGACATATAAGGATTCTTGGCAATAGGCAAAGACACTTGGGACATAGATGTGGTCCTTTCATGAGTATCTTCAGTGTGTTCCACTCCCTGGTCCCCCTCCGGTGGTGTCCCCACCTCCAGGTAGGGCTCATCTTCAGGTACATCCAGAGGAAAAAGTAGGAGCTCTTTGCTGGGGCTTCCTGGTGACTCTACAACATTTACCACATGGCACTCCTCTATGTCAGTATGGTAATGCACTGCTATGTGCTCTGAGTCATCCCCTCGGCCATGTTTACTCCGCTGAGGGCTTAATGATTGGCTTGGTGTACTGTCATGCGAGTGTTTTCTTGACTGTGGATGTTGTGAATGCTCTGTTGAAGTAGAGGAACTGTCCCCACCATGCTCTCTGTCTTCATTGTGTTTGGGCATTTCAGAGTTGAAATTCTCCTGACAATGCAGAATTCCATTACACTGCGGCAAGTCCTTAGGGCTACTATGACAACCAGAAGTTTCATTTGGATCAGACCTGATCTCACTTTTTTGAGTTATAGACTGTGGTGAGCTTAAACAGCTATGGAAACTCTCGTCGCTTGCCTGTGGGCTTGCTTCCAAAAAACTGTTTTCCCTGTGCTTGCTATCCCTAGACCCCACTCTCAGCAGACGTAACAGGGAGTTTGTCTTCTTCCTTTTATCAGATATATTCACAGGCTCACTACTCTTGCCAGTAAGAGATTTGATCGACTTCTTGGTGCAGTCATCAAATGGTGACTTTCCCATGCCAGAGTAAGCAGCTAAGCATGCACCAAGTACTCCGGTGGGTAATAGTGGGTCCATGAGGCTAAGGAGACGAGATGGTGAAGGCACCCACTGCACATTGAATGGTGAGTATGCAGCAAGAATGGAGTCAGGAACTCGAATGCCATATTCTGCCGCACGCAAGCTCAATGACACACACAAGTTACCACCTGAGGGGTAGGCAAAGATCATGCAATAGAGATTAGGACAAGGCTACCCACATTACTTCAACAATATTAATTCCAGACACTTAAATGCTAAGTTTTTCTAACATTTAAAATTGATAATATCATTTGTAGCTAAAACAACAAGGTTAAGAAAAAGGGCAAATAACACTGAATTAACAGTAAACCTCATTCAGACTCTCAAGGTCAGCCTCCTACACTGAACTTTTTGTGGCTCATTGGACCAGAGTTGAGAAAAGACAGTACTTATTGTAAATGAACAAAAATGGAAAAAATGGAGTTGGAGCCAGGTAAAAGGGGCAATGAAATAAAGACTAAGTGCCTAGTTTTAATCTTGCATGATATACAAAGTAATTTCTTCACAAGTTACATTTGGACAGCGATCAGAGCTGTCGTTAAGAGGTGGGGCTGGGGATTTGCCCCGGCTACTAGGAACGTGAATATAGAAGAAAAACAGAACCAAACAAAACCCCAGTAGCTGTTTGCTTCCCCGCCTACTTGTTGAAATTACCTAGCAACTTGAAATCTTAGTGACAACCCTGGCCATTACTTTTTTTGCAATATTAAACATGGTAGCCACAACTCTAGTTGACAAATGCCACAAAATCATGAGTGGAAAATGGTCACAATTCACTATTGCCCTTTGCAAAACTGAAGCTAACAACATGAGATTTGCAGAGGCCAGTGGACTGAAAAAGGAACAAATGTTACTCTGTGAACCCTGTGATGCTAAACTCTGGAAAAAGGCACTACCTGCAGAATCTCCAGCTACACATACTCGCTTGCCATTAGTGCCAAGGTGATGGAAGTTGTTCAAACACCAAGCATAAACAAAGAAGCACTCCTCCAGCGCCCGAGGGAAGGGTGCTTCAGGGGCGAGTGAATAATCTATAGATAAGATAGGCACACTCAGTTCTTTGGCCCAGGATCGAAGATACATCTGAAAGATAAAAACATTCTGTATAATGCAGGGTCCACAACTAGTGTCTGGTAGCCTGCATGGCAGGTGTTGGCACAAGAGAAACGCGAGGGGAGCACAAGGAGGCCCCTCCCCCCTCACGCACCCCTAGCATTTCTCCCATGCCCAAAAGCCCCTTTCCACTCATCTTTGAATGCCTGCAACGCAGGCTAAGTGGTGGCTTGTCAATGTGCCTACAAATTGAGAGATAGCAACTTGAATTACAAGGCTAGTCAAGTTGCCAGTAAGATAAGTTTCCAGTCCAGTATTTGAAACAGTTGTTGGAGGATCAGATGATATTGGTTTACCATTAAAATTCAACTTATGTGCCATCCTGCCAACATTGTAGACTCTTTGTAAACTAACTAAGGATAATAGTTAAGGACAATGAACATAAAATGTCCAAAGCATTCAATTTTTTCATGTCTCATTGTTCAAAAATAAAATTTTGCAACTATTTTTTGCTATCTGACAACCAAAAACTCTTATCTAGTTACCATGATGTCAAGTTAATTTTGGAACTTGTATTGGCTATCATTCATTCATTACAAAATAGGATACCACTGATCACATACATGTACGAGTATTTCAAGTTTTTTTAGAACCAATTTGCATTTTCTAGGTATATTGGTTTTCATGCAATCATAACATGAATAACTTCTAAACTGTAATGTACTTGATGGCTCGTAATGACAAATGCAATTATGAGAAAAATATTAAGAAACACATTAAAAAGTGTACAGACTGTATCAATTGCTTTTTCAACACCCAAATCTTTACAAAAATGTGGGTAGGATTCAGCTCTCCAAGAAGGGCTGAGAAGGGCCATGAAGGGCTGTTTAAACCCCTTTAAAAGCCCTTAGTTAATATCCACATACAAATTCTCCAGACGGATCTCCATACATTTCGTTTATGAATAGTTGAGAGAATTTGGTTTAAAACCAAAGAATTCTCCCTTTGGTAATCAATTTAGTAATTCTCATAACCTTTACTCTTGATGATCTGCTGATGTTGTTAAGAGAAAATTGATGTTAGTCACCCTTTCGACCTACAGGATTAAACACTGCAATAATTTATTTCCAGCAGTTTCAGTAAGTTTCAAAGGCTTTTGGGGTTAAAAGTATTGAATTTTCAAGGACATTCAGGGACCAAGTGTGTTCTCAAGGACTTGTAAAGGCCTGTTTGAACTGTTGATTAATATAGCATGTGTTGTACCTCATGTGATTTAGATGACTGGGCCACAAACCCGCCGCCGTGAACATGAACCAACAGACCGTCACTTTTTGGTTTTGGTGATTGTCCATGGTGTGTGGTACCATCCTTACTCTGGAAAATATCAAAAATATCCATAAAGTACTTTTATCAATATTTAGAACTTAAAATGTCAATGTATTAGTATTCATTTAGGAACTTAAAATATCACAAACACCTAATAATCACTTTCACATGATGTCCAGTTGTCTAACTTCACTAACAAGATTGTTCCCTTAGATGACCTCAAAATCACAGATGCAAACAGGTTCTTTAAGCCTGGTTTCCATATGATTGTCCGGATCGTCCCGATCGCCCCAGTCGTTTCAAAATATTTTGAGACGATCCGGACGACTGGGACTATTGGTAGTTTCCATATGATCGTCTCGATCGCCTCAAAGGCAAGAGACGTGGGGTTGTCAGCGATGTCTCTGGGTCAGACAATAGAATTTTTGCACGTGTTTTGCAAACAAGCCACATAAATGGATGATTTTTAATTGTAAAGCGAACCTCGTACCAGTGTTCTCCCTAAATTTTAGCTCAGCAGGTAAGGGACCATTCATGGACGGTAAGGCAAAAAATATATACTTTTCTAAGGGAAGGGGGGGGGGAGGGGAGACGGTGGAGTGAGGGACATGGACCCGCCTTCACTGGGAAATTTTTTATTCCCATATTTTAAGACCTATTTTACGCAAATCTGCTATCGTTATCTTTAGAAAACAAATTAAAACGTTTGATTCCAATAATTTTACTATGTCTCCAAAATGCATGTCCCTAAAAAGGAAAGCTGCATATACAGTACTAGTATAGAACCAAAATAATGCACGCGCAAAAAGTGGCGTAAGAAGTTGCTGCGCCGCAAGAACATGCAAGCCACCGCAAGAAGTGAAAGTGCCGTATTTTTGCGTACTCTTTGTGGTTTACCCGCAAGAACTTTGAAACGAAAGAAGTCAAAAATCTTCATCGCAAGAAGCTAGAAAATTACCGCAAGCCTCAAGAAGGCGCATGAAGTTCTTTGGCAGCAAAAGGTAATCATGAAAGTACACACGTAAAAAGTTGCCTGGGAAAGCGAACAGCCCTCTCTGATTTTTGTGCAAAGTGAACACTTCAATCGTTTAGCTTTTCCAAAGTTAGATAAAGCGAGTGAGGCGTTTGTTTAACAAAACGATCTGTAGTTTCGAACATTTCGATTATTTGGATCATTTCATAGTACAATACCATAGTCTCGGCAAAACAAACTAAAGGCGTTGAATTTCTGCCCACAAGAAAACATGGGAATTATTATTACTTTATTGCGCTAATTTGAAAGAGCCTTTAGTTAAAATATTCCTTACTTTACTTTTGCATGTTTTTTTTCCAAGAGCGCTTTAAGTTGACACAGTTGCACGTGCGGTCTCAAATTACATGGCTCTTTTGCGAAACATACTACGATCATTCCTTATTTTTTGAAGCGCTACTTTTTTTTTTAATCAAAATTGTACACATTTCCTCCCTTAAAAGGTTACCTTTGCACAAGATAATTTTAAGAAATTCTTGTGGTTAAATTTATAACCGCAAAAGAAGTTCTTGCGTCTCGCTGGATTCAAGCGCAAAGCGCCTGCAAAAAAAAACTATCGGTTACCAGCTTGCGGACCCAAAAAGAAGTTCCTGAACATGCATTATTTTTGGGCTGTACGTTTTGTACTTAGGTAGCTATACTTTTCCACACATTCATTCATTTTCTTGTGAGGATCGGATCGGATCACAACTCGCATTTTTTTTTTTTTTTTTTTTTTTTTTAAACTATTTAATTTTGGTAAACCTTTAAGCAGTTGCAGGCAGTAAGAAGTGTTGCTTCAGGCGGTAAATTTTACCGGTTACCGCCTGATAAGGAGAACACTGTCGTACCTTGGTATCTCTTGATTTTGCGGCATTGAGAAGCTAGAAGCATTCCCCGAAGACATAGCATCTCTTCGAAAACTTGATGTCACGGACTTTCTCTAATTTCAAATAACCCCCATACACGCTGCGAACATTATTTTGTGTATTAGTTTTTCGGCTTCAGTGCCATCTGGGGCGAATTTATTCTCGATTACTGGAAAAAAAGTGATGACTTCTGGGATAGCCTTTGATCGTCCCGATCGTCTCAGTCGTCTGAGAGCGTTCCCATATGATCGCTTCAAACTTTACGTGATCGTCCCGATTGTCCGGATAGAACTCAACTCTATCCAAGCGATCAAGGTCATCTCAGTCGTCCAGGTCGTTTGCGATCGTCTAGGTAGCGTTTCCATATGATCGTCCCGATCGTCTGAGCATTTTTTGAGACGACTGGGACGATTGGGATGATCCGGGCGATCATATGGAAACCAGGCTTTAAGTACGTAAAGCTTTCTGTTAAATGTTACATGGCCTTATAGACAGAGGCAGCCTCTAACATGGCACACTCAACTTCCTGCTGCTGTTAGAAAGTCCATGAAGGAGAATAAAATAAATTTCTTAACATCATACCTGACCCTTCCGCCACTCAGAGGACAACAGGCGCACTTGAACCGGTGCCAGACCTGACCATGAACAGGGCGGGGCAATGGTTACTGTCTCACCATCGGCTTGTTTGAGTTCAAATGGTTCAGGCGGGATAAAGAATACCCTGTTCACCTTCATGGCTGAAGAAACCAACAAGGGAACATGCTAAAACATAATAAACGAATTTCAGCACAATTGAACACAAGAAGTCTCTGAGAGTAAATAGGGAGGTTCATTAACAGGAAGGTTGCTTCTTTTTGCCTTCAGTGTTTATTAGATTTGTCCTTAACAGCTTGCCCTTATCTTTGGCAATCTCTAGAGTCCATCACAAAGGTTACATCCACTTACTGCCTCTCTGCCATGGCCACATATCTCTGATTCTAAGATGGCCATTGTATAGACTAAGTTTTTTTAACTAAGAGAGTATACATGATAGCAGTCTGCAAAGACAGTGGTGTCTGATGGCCCAAGGTTAGTGGATTTTGCTATCGGGCTAGTGAATTCTGTTCTTCACTTGCCCAATAGGCAAGTGAAGTTTTTTGGGGAATTCAAATTACTGAAGAACTGTAATCAATCCTGCTCATCAAAAAATATTTTTGGGCAGGATAAAATGACTCTCAAGCTAGTACATCCTAGCTACAGCTTGCCTGAACGGCAAACTGTAAACTGACTTTCTTTGCACCCTGCGTAGGCAACCTACGACCTGCCCCCTTGTTATACCCCATTGTTCTGTATTCTTCAGAGCTCTCTTAAGAGGTCTAATGACTAACCTGGATTCCAAAACCCTCAGTTAAACTCCAAAAAGCTTTGCAAAAATCCATGTTGGTCTTCTGCGTAACATCCACTATCTGCTTTGCTCTCATCTCAGGATTCACGGTGTACTTGCCGCTGTTCAGGAAGGATATTGCAGCAAGTGCCACACTGCTTGTTTTGTGTTTATGATAACCCTCAGCAAATGATGCCATGGCAACACAGACCATATGTAGGAAATTTCGCAAGCCGACAGAAAACTAGGAAGAAGTGAGTAATTTAAATTTAGCTAGCTAAATCAACTCCCGAGGGTGACAAAGGCCAGTGCCCAGTTGTTTTGAAGACCAATAAGCGCCAACCCAGGGTTAATTGTTAATCCCGTTGTCTTTTTCTTTTGCTCAAAAGCATTTTCTTAAATATTTTCTCTTTCCTTTTTACACCATCCAATCATAAAAGTGTAGACAAAAAGGTTTAATCTCAATTTGCTTTCTAAGTTTTCCTATCTGAATTAAAATTTTGCACTGACCCTACATTATCTTAACTCAGCTTTGAACAACCCGACCCTGGTGATCAAAAAGTCGCCTTCTCAGACTCCCTCCAGGGGACAATTTACTCAATAACTCATTTTTTTTTCCTGTAGAATAGTGCACTGCCATCAGGAGTTGGAACAACATCAAAGAGAGATGTATGGCAGAGCCACGAATACGTATAACAGATCATCATTAGCCAATTATTTAACTTTGATTTTCGGTGAAATTCTCCTCAAGAGGAAATCCCGATCAGTTCACAAAATGGTCTTGTTTTCCTCTGAAGTTGTAAACATTGGTTTTAGGAGTAATCACTCCACTACAAAAACCAGGGAAATGCTGCATTAAACACCTTGAAGTTTAATTCTTATCTTCAAAAACATCAACGCTTAAGAATTTTGGGGTTTCACAAGTTCTTACTGTCAAATTTTGGAAAACACTGTGTTTAGCACAATGACTTTGTTTTCTTTTATATTCACGCCTAGCCTGCGAAAGCATCCGTTTCTCCTTGCTCTTCACCGCTGAGGATGTTTCGCGAGGAGGAACGTCTGCGACTCAGCGACAGGAATTCCATACTGATGACGTAAATCAATGGTTACATAATGAATCTGGTAGTCATGGAGTTCCAAATATAAATTTGTCCAATTTTGTGTCTTCTGGTCGATTTTTGGTGAAGTGTTGTGTTCATCTGCCAGCAAGCTCCAGCAAAACTCAAATGTTTCTTCTAGAGAAGACAGACTATATTCCAGAAATATTGACTGTTTTGTTAGAGATTCTTCGCTTTTAAATTTGACCTTTGTGGCCTTTTGTATTTTGTCTGTCATTCGTAAACAATAGCTAAAACAATGTAACTACTCGGTCGACCAATCAGCACTTCTGACCAGTTTCCGGACAGATTTTACGTCGTCAGTATGGAATTTCTGTCGCTGAGTCGCAGATGTTCCTCCTCGCAAAACGTCCCCAGCGGCGAAGAGCGAGGAGAAACGAATGTTTTCGCAGGCTAATTCACGCCTAGCCCCAAGCAGTGGTGAAGGTTTTTCAACCCTCCTTTTCACTTATGTCTAAAGTTGTTGCCTGCCCATTGGGCAACTTTTTATTAAAACACCCTAAACTGATGGATCTCTCTACAAGCTCTTAGAGAGTACTATCATGCCTTCTGAATCTAGGTTTTATGGTCAAGTCGCCCCAAAGTCATCTTGCCAAAAAAATAAAAACAATAGAATAAAAAATTTAAAAATTTTTTAAAAAAGTCATTTTGCCTGACATCAGAGTTATATTGTCCAAAATGTTTAGTCAGTCGCCCAAAATGCTGAGTTAGGTGGCGCAAAATTTTATCATGCTCAACAATATCTTAGCATCCCTTTTACCATTTGCTGAGCTTGTTTTGTCTCATCAAAGATTTAAGAATGAGATATATTACTCATTTATCGCACTTGTTTCTTGTTATTCCCGGGTTAAAGAGTGAGTTAAAGAGTGAGATATATTTCACAGTTATACCGCTTGTTTTGTCTCATTATGTCCATTATGGTTTAAAGAATGATATATTAACACACACTCTTTATTTAAAAAAATTAACTTTACTTCTTTGCGCACTTCACCTGTTAAAATTCGGGCAACATGACTCCACTTTTCGGGGTACTTAACCCTGGTTTCAGGTGACATAACTTCACATGAGATGACTTTTGGGCAACCAGACAAGTTACTGAATCTAGCCTGCAAGGCTGAAATACAGAGTGGGGGCCGAGGTATTTATGCAAGTGATCCTTTGGGTCCAGATCCACTGATCAGGCTATAGCTCGCATAATATGCCCCCACTATCAAAAGATTGTTTTCACTGTCACGCAACAAAAAGTTAAATTGGAAACTGTCCAGTGGAAGAAACCAAGAAAATGAAATGTTTTAAAAGACTAATATATAAACAATTTGTCCAAGTCTCAGGTCTTTGTGGCTCAGTTTCTGAGTTATTTGGCGAAACATTTCACGCATCTTTGTAGAGCTTTGTATGGAGACGCCATATTGGTGCACCAATATGCCTGCCGGAAATCAACAAAAACATCTGGAGTTTACTTTTTCTATAAAAGCTCTTTCTTTTCACTCGAGAACTAGCGTACGTATGCATGAACATATCTTCTAATACTTGAAGTAGTTATATTGCTGAAAATCAAGAGGAGAGACTTTTTTCAAAGAGACAGCATAATTTCCTATTTTGGTGTCACGCACTGTGAAAACTCGGAAGTTCAAATTGCTGTATTTTCAAAATGAAACATGCTACCTCGCTATTTTGACTTTGCAATTTGATGACGTCACAGTGGAAACCATCTATACCTGCCATGTAGGCTATTTTAGACTGGAAGTCATAAATTTATATTCCATCATGCAGAGATACCAAATAAGAGTCCCTGTAAGGGTTTTTTGAAACAAAATTGAAGTTACGACCAAATCATCATAATTTCAAAGAGATGATCTTGGAGATCAAAGTAATGATCGCCAAGTTTGACAATGTAATTCGAGCAACAACTGCAAAGAAACCTGCGAAAAAGCGTGTTGTACAGTCAGAGCTTTTGTTTTCCTCATTTTCTTATTTCTGTTGTTGCGGAGGTTGCACTGAGCTTGTTAGTACTGTTACCATGTAAAACAATCTTGGTACCGTATTTATTCGAATAAGCGCCCAAACTCAAATTAGCGCCCATTCTAAAGGCAGAAAAAGTTAATAAGCGCCCAGCCTCAAATAAGCACCCACCCCCTCCTTCTCCCAATCGAACTCAAATAAGCACTCACCCCCACCCCACCCACTTGAGTGAACAAATAATATCCTAATAAGAGACTTCCCCAAGGATGGAGTTTTCTTCAGAGTATTTTACAGAAACCTTGCTTTGTTACTTCTTCACGTTTTTTTATTTGCATTTATTGTTTTGTTGCAAAATAAACATAATTCAGTTGCTGAAAATGGTGAAAATGTATTAAGTGCCTACCTCGAATAAGCGCCCACTCTCAAGGTCCAAAAATTTAATAAGCGCCAAGGGCGGTTAATCAAATAAATACGGTATGCGACAATTTCATGGAAAATGCGTGATGAAATGGACATTTGCAGGTACCCATACACAGGTTCGACGAACCCTCCACAGGAATTTCCTCAGAGCTTGTCCTGGTTTTACATACATTGTACCCTGCAGTGGTAGTAACAGCATGAACACGACTCACCTGGAATCCTAGAGTTCTACCATAAAAGCACTCTCTATCCAACTGCTCCACTTCGAGCATGACTTTAGAGTCAAAACACTCCGGGAATAAATTGTCGGGGACGCTGTCCTCTATAACGATTCTTGCAAACTGTAATAACTCTGAAGTACGGTGAAAAAGATTTGCAAACGCCTCCATTTCCAGGCTATAGTGATGAGAACGAAAATAAAACCTATCTCGATGTGATTGGCAATACGCGGCCAGCTCTGTGACAGAACGGATGCACTGTTCAACAAGTCTTATCAAGCTCCGATATCCATTTCCCTTAACATCGCTGCTGTAATCATACAAGGGAGCCGTCCGTGCAAGTAAAATGGTGCTTTCTTCCATCACGTCAATGGTTGTCAGCATCAAGTTAAAGCTATCGTAAAATCGCTTGTATACTGTCTTGGATGTGTATTTTTCGAAATATTCTGTGTTGTCGACGAGGATTCGTTTCAGGTGCCGAAAAAGCAAAGGGAGATCACCGTAGTCTCCTAAGTTGAGGTCGGGTTCGGGTGATTTTGTATCCGGCTGTGACGCCATCTTGAAAACGCCGGTAAGTCGTCCGCAGATAAGAGTGTTTACAAATGCAATTAAAAGAAATCTTCATAATTTCCAAACGCCTCGATTCTCCTCAAAGACTTCCATTTAGGTGAGATCCGCTCACTAACAGAAACGTTTCTCATTTTCAATAACAAAAAAAAGCATCCGCGCTAATGAGGCCAGTACAGTGTGACACCGGTAAAAGAAAGCCTTTTTCGAGCGTAAAACGAATCACAACGTTAGGCTTATAATTATCAGATGCACCAATTCATGACCAAAACGCCTATCACAAGACTGGATTAGAATATCTTCGGTATTTCTCAGATAAAATGTTTACACCCCTTCCACTTACGCCAATACTTTTTCACCCCGCAAGCCAAAACATCAACCCACAAATTGTCGTTTCAGCCTCGTTCGCATGCTGATAGGAAAATTGAACTTTGGACTGGACAAACTCTGCACTGGACCTATGGAACAAGTCACAGCACAAGCTCCACTCGTGACGAGATTTACAAGTCATAGTTCTCCCTTCCATCGCTTGCAATCTTCTCAATGATGGTGGAAAAACGGTTTTCATAATGCTTTCAAATATAGTAAATGTGCAGAAGTGAGTCCCGCTGGGGTACTCTTACGACAGTGTTTAATACTAAGGCCACACTAAAACAAAGCCCTCTTTTGCCTTTTGAAGCATCGGACATTGCTTCAAAGTTAGCCTGCTTTTAATAAGTCAAGCACGTCTAGTTTATTCCACGGTTGCCTTTTGTAGGTGTTATCAGGAGCCTATGATGGACTCCTGGTTTTATTTAGGGTTTTAAGCCGAGAGAAAATTCTTCTTTGCTGTTCGCCAGATCCTACCAGTTACACAGGCTAGTTCAAAGTCCACAAAACCTCTCCTTTAGACATTTGTACCGCGATTAGTCCATTATTTTTATTTATTTTTGAGATAGTAGACCGAGAGCACACGCAAGGAGCGAGGGCGCAAGCCCGAGGAAATCCTCTCTCCAACCCAATCCCTCCTCGCCACGCGTGGATCTGCATAAGTTACTGGAATGCGCAGTCATCGCAGGAGCATTTGAAAACAACAGTTTATGCAAAACTGGTAAGGGTTGGAGGGGAGGGGGCACGAAGTGTATTATGGGGTAGTAGAAAATATTCCCAATGTAAATCAAGTGATAATACTCTGAGGCCCAGTTTTTAGTGTCGTCACAGGGAGAGCGTTACGGGACGACACTAAAAAACGGCTGTGTAGCAGACCACGTCCACTAGACTACGAGTTGTCACCATTTTCCCTCAGGGATAGTAGAGCGAGCGAAAGGCGAGCGCGCGTGAAATCTTGCCTTTCTCGCGTGGGGTGATTTTGACGCGCGCTCGCGTTTCGCTCGCTCTTCTATCCCTGAGGAAAACACGTCCACACGTATTCGGTGAACCCGGCATATGAATCCGCATCTTTTTGAATCCGCCCTCCAGAGTTGAAATTTTTGAATACGCTATGAATCCGGAATCGTGAGGACGCTAAATCCGGATATTTTTTCATCCGGTGACATAACAAAATCGAGCCCAGCGAAAGGCAGTGCAAAATGAAACTTTCGCGCACACGACGCATGCTCTGTTGCCAATACTCCCAGAGGAGTAGGTATTAGAGTGAATCTGGATACGAGTGGACGGGCGATTCAAATACGGATACGTGTGGACGTGGACATTTTTGAATCCGGAAAGAAAAAGTTGCAGATTCAAAAATATCCGGATACGTTTGGACGGGGTCTAAAGCCAACTGTTTCTTTCAAATTTCGTTATATTCACGTGCATATGTACGTATAACTTTTAAAACGACAAAAGGTGAATTCCCTTGGGAACATCAAATGACCCACATACGGAAAACAAAAGGAGGTCTATAGCCTGAGAACAGCAGACGCATTTCCGGTTGTCGGAGGGAAAGAAGTGACGACCGGAAATACGTCTGCTGTTCGCAGGCTAAGAGGTCTATTGCGCGCCCCAAATTAGCGAAACTTCCGGAAAAGGGCCAGGTGTTAAATTTGTTGTTCATTTTCAGGGTAAAATTGTGTTAGGATCGATACGTTTTTACGGGAGGCCATCAAGCACGACGCTGCTGTATCCCCCTTCTTCCCAAAAACTGGGATGGTTGGAGGTACAGTGTAAGACTTCAAAAAGGACCTCGCACGGCGCCGTGTGGCAAAGGAACGGTATGGGTGACGCTGGGTGCGCAGGCGACAAGTAAGATCACAACTAGAAAACTCATTCATGTTGTTGTAAAATCATTCTTTTAGTCTTATTTTACAAAGTTATTCAACCACACTGTCGTTATGGTAAGAATTACATTTCAGTCAGCACTAGTTTCTCGCAGACGTTTTTCTTTGTTCCAAAAAAGAAAAAAAAAAGAAAGCGAACGAGTACGCGGACTAACTCTAAAGCAAACGCACAAAGCTTCATAACAAGCTAGGACGTCTAGGAACAGACTAAAACAAGGCGTTCGTGCCGCGCGATCTTAATTTACAACTACATGAGTACTGGACTCCAAAAATTAACCAAGTAATATGTGATAACAGAGACCTTGGAAAAAAGCTCATTACAGATAAACCTGTAATATAATCTTGTTTGGATGGAAACTTAGCGATCGATTTCTCCAAACACAACATCAAGTGTACCTGAGAGGAAATATCACAGAGACGCATTAGAATGAACATACCACCTTCCTGTCAATCAAACTTGATTTTATTACGACTTTGCCTGATTTCACTGGGAATTTAGGTTTTGTTCACACTATATCGGAGAGTTCTTCTGCGCGTTCCTGCACCCACGTCTCGCTAGCCTTCTTGTAGCCGCACCTTTCCCACCACAAAGGAAAACCGTTTTGTCAGGGGGAGGGTGCGGCTACAGGTAGGCTACCGTCGCGCCTATCGGGCGCTCCTCGCTCGCTTCGCTCGCCTGTTAGGATCATTTTACGTTTCTGTGAAACTGCCCACCTACCCCTCCCCTAAACCAACATTAACACGTAGTTCTTACTTAGGGCAAAATGTTGGCTTAGGGGAGGGGTAGGTGGGAAGTTTCTCAGAAACGTAAAACGATCTGCCTGTTATACAGGCTACCAGGAAAATCGTACCGGACAGGACTTCTGTTCACTCAGAAGAACGGTTCTGGCGGCGCGACTTCTGCGCCGCGCCGCGCCGATCTCTAAAGTGGAGAGTCACATACCGAATTGGCGCCTCGGACAGCTATCCGATATGGTCGTAAAAACAGCCTTTATCTGAACTTATGTCCACAATGATATTTTTCCGACTTCTAATAGTCCAGTTTCGAATTAAAAATTACCGCAGGCGCTGAATATAAACATTAACGACACATTCATACAGGGTTAGCCTCGACGTAAAATAAAATATTCAGAAATTCTGGCAAGTAAGTGTTTGAAATTTGAATATACACAATAGACAGAGTAATAAACATGTATTTTTCTCGTTGGAATTTGTAAATATATAACTTCAGATTGAGGCTAAGGCTGTAAAAAAATGCGTCTTCACTTCTTTAATTCAGCGGTCATAGCGAAAATGGACTATTGGAGGTGAAAACAATAACTTATGCAAAACTTGGGACGCAAACAGAGTATATTACGAGGGATTCGAAAATAGTCCAAGCTTTCCCCCTTGAAATTGCGTTTGCTACGCAGGCTTTAAGATTTATCACTTTCAAGCAAAACATGAAGCGGAATTTTGGGGGTTATTCCAAAGTTATAAGATAGCAAAAACTTACCAATAATTGCAACAACATCTGCAAGCATATGACCTTGGGAAACCAAATTCAGACCACCCTGTAGAGAATAATAATAATTATAATACCTGAATACTACTACTAATAATAAACATACAGAGAATAACTAATTTACTGTATCCAAAAAAACTAAACTAGAAGAGTGCACATGCTAACTAACTAACGCTAAGTCTTGCTTTCATGAGCCCCAAAATGTGCTTGGCTGAAAAACTGTCATGCCACTTTCTTAACCAATCAGAAATATTCCCCACATCGACTGCGACCTTCTCGCCAACGTTTTCCCGCGCATGGTGCCGACTACGTGAAACTACGTAGACACTGATTGGCTTATCGGGTTGTCAGCGCGTGTTAAGGTGATGTTACACGAGCGATTCGCAACGACGATTTTTAGCGCAACACAGCGTTGCAACATTGTTGCGGCATTGTTTCGAGTGGTTACAACATTACTCCAGCATTGCAACGCTGTGTTGAGCTTAAAATCGTCGTTGCGAATCGTTCCGTGTAACATCACGTTTAGCCAAGGTGACCAACCACTGTGCGTTCTTGAGGACAGTCCAAATGTATAAAATGAATCTACATAAAACTCACCAAATGTGCAAACCCTGGAGCTTTGATCTTGCAGCGATAAGGTCTGCTAGTTCCATCTGACACCAAATAAACGCCAAACTCTCCCTTGGAATTGAAAAGTAAAAGGGTACGTTGTCGCTATCGAGTTTCCTTAGTACGTTTGTTGTTGTTTTTCTTAGAAAATTGGTATTACTTTTATAAAAAAAATGAAATTTTGTAACTTGTCTTATACAATGAATGGATGTTTAAATAACCACACATACAAAAGACAAATGCAGGCAAGATACTGAGGCTAAAAAAAGCCTAGGAACTATGGACAAAAATGGGCAAACTGACAGTCGCGATATAAGTAATTAACTATAAACAGGTAGCAACAATTGTGAGTCGCTCTGCAAAAATGTCTCTAAAATACCCATGTAATACCGGAGACCTTTAAAACTGAACGCAATAGAAGAAATGGACTTTGAGAAAGTCTATAAACGGCCTTCTCTGGCTGTAAAACTCACCTTAGGAGCTTCAATTGCTGTGTAAGTTGCTCCCGGAGGGACTTGATATCCTTCGGTGTAGAGCTTGAAATGGTGGATAAGAGCTTCCATGGACTCCTGTATTCAAAATCGGAAATCGAGAGGTTGTTAGGGGGTATTTACATGAGACCGGGACGAACTCAGACGGGTGCGAATTTGTAATTTTGCTGCCGTTTACATGAGACCGGGACGAAAGGCTTGGTCGATTACTTGTGGGGAGGAGCGTTGCGTGACGACACTAAAAACGGCTGTGTAGCAGACTACCACCCACCCAGCATGCCAAAATTGTTTCACTCAAAGTCATATCGTTGAAACCTCTCGTAAATGACCACCTCTCGACCGTGAATTGGGGGAATAGTTTTATAATTTTCCATTGTTTTAACCTCCTGTAAGCGACCACTCAAAGAATAGTGTAATCCCTATGTTCACTGTATGTATTACGCTTCTCAGAGCACACGAAAACTGACGTTAAGTGACGGCACGGAACCACACATATGATAGCTTCAAAATTGCCTCCCAAAAGGTAAACGTTCCCGGACCGCTTCTCAGATCAGGGCCTTATGGTATAGCCTGCGAAGCAAGCGTTTCCGCGCGAGTTCGTCCCGCTCTAACTTTCGCGCAATGACAAGATTGGAAACGCTTGCTACGCAGGCTACTTATGGTACAAATATCGTGGGCGCCCACTAAATTTTCGCATTTTGGGTTGTAGTGTTCAATAGGTTCTAGCTCGCGAGCAAGCTCTCCTCGCGTGCCACTCGTGCGTGTACTTTTTACGATATCCCCCAAATGGAAAGCTTGTTCGCAGGCTAGATAGGTTTGTGTACAAAATACGAGAAACTTGCCTTCATTTCAGCTCTCTTCGGTGGTGAGATTTTGGCATCGTCCACCTTAATTTCACCTGGGGGCATCTTGTTCAAACACTGTTATAAAAGACACAAATGGAGCGTTTTTTGAAGAGGTTAGTAACTAAAAAACACCAGCATCAAAGACGAAGGCACTGTACTCATTATAAAAGTTTTTTTTTGGAAAGCATTCAAGGTTAGGTATAGTGATTTAATGTCACTTGCGCACTAGATCAAAATTAGCTGTTCAAAGTCCCCGCCACCTCCATGGGGGCGGAGGGGGTGATGAAGAAGGAGTCGGGGAGGGGTAAATTGGGAACGGGAAGGAAGAAGAGGGCTGGAAAGACAAGCCTGCAAAATAGCACCATAAAGTCACGCGGCAAAAAATATTTGGAAATATTTCTTTTATTGATAACGCCTAATGTTTGTTACCGTGTATAAAAAAAGATGATGACGATGATGACGATGATGGTTCTTCAAAGGAGGTGGAGGGAGCGTCACATTTTGTCACACCAAGGGTACGCACCAGTCATATCGACATCATACGCACGCTTGGTCTTAATAAAAGTAACATTTTTTTGGATGAGCAGTAGGCGTGGGGGAGGGGTAAGTTGGGAGGCGAGGAGGGGGCTGGAGAGACAAGCCTACAAAATAGCTCCATAGATAAGTCACGCGTCGAAAAGGACCAAATATGTTGTCAACATTAAGAAGGAAGATCACATTGTGAGATTGGGGTGTTTGTGCTCTCATGCTTCTTTTGCACACTGACCTGCTCAATAATCTTGAGACTCTGTCGCATTTCTTCCATCCGGATCAAATACCTAAAAATATCACGGGAAACTTAATTAAACAAATCAAGACCGTAAAGAGTGCACAAATGCCAACTAACAACCCATATTTTGCCATTATCATATTCAAGATGAAAGGTCATTCATTTTCTATTGTCTCGAACAAACAAACTTGACTGCGATTTCTTGCAGAAGAAAGAGGGAGAGAAGGAGTTCCTTCGTTCTCAACCCCTACCCCACCCCCTCGCTGTTTTTCTCGCTAACATACATCTCTTTGCACCATCCCACAACCTGAACCGCTGGAACAGACGAATGAATGCAGAGAATATTAATAAGCTCGAGGTTGATTTTGATGAAAAGGGGCAATATTTCAGTCACATAATTCCTTCAATCCTTACCTGTCGTAACAGTCGCCATTCTTGCCAATGGGAATGTCAAAATGCACTTTATCATACGCATCGTACGGCTGTGATTTACGCAAATCCCACTTGATACCAGAGCCACGCAGCATCACTCCACTGGAACGAAAAAAGACAAATGATACGTCAGTCGCAGAGTTACTTTTCAGGACATATAGCTAACAGCTCTGGAAAGCAGTTAGTGTTTGTTAGTGTTGGTGCCAGTTAAACATTGGTACGTTATGATTCATTCTGACGAAGGGCTAACGCTAATGGCTTCAGCTTGTAAACCACTAGTAGATGGTCAATTTACTTAATCAAGAGCCAAATCTTTGAAATCCCTTTTCCCCTTCGGGAGAACAGGGGGTGGGAGCTCGGGAGAATAGGGGGCGGGAGCTCGGGAGAATATGGGGGGAGATCGGGAGATAGGGGGTGGAACATCGGGAGAATAGGGGGCGGGATATCGGGAGAATAGAGGGTGGGAGAATAGGGGTTGGGAGCTCTGCAGAACAGGGGGGAGATGAGGAGAATAGGGAGTGGGAGATCGGGAGAATAGGGGGCGGGAGAACAGGGGGGAGATGAGGAGAATAGGGAGTGGGAGATCGGGTGAACAGGGGGCGGGAAGGGTACAGAAAGCCAAAGAGGGAAGGGTGGGAAGTGGGAGAGATAAAGGGAAATTATGAATGTTTTATATTTTGCAATCGAAAAAGAGCTAAAGAGCGAAAGTCAAGAAAAAGGGTCAGAAACAGGGAATGCAAAGTGCGGGAAAGTGACCGGGGGGGGATCTTTCAAATTTGGTCAACGCTAGCAGGTTATGAAGAACAAGCCCGGAGATTTAAGCCATAAGAAACGGAGAAATATTTTGAATGAAAGCCAAAAAAAAAACTGTTGCCAACCTGAAGCCGTAATTGAGAGCATCTTCTGCGGTGACTACGCCTACATCCACTGTTCGCTGTTTCCAGATTCTGTTGTTTGTCAACATCTGAAAATAAATTTCCAAAGATAACTGAGGTTTTTGAACAAAAATATAGAGTTCGAGAATTTGCCTGCGTGATATCTTTTTTTTGAGAGATGTTTTTGCTGCCCTCACCACTGTGGTATAATCTTAAAATGCCCTGTTTACACTTGAATGGTATGCTCGTTTGTCTCTATATTAACCTGCGCTTAGCCTGGGAGCAAAGCCTTCATTTTTGGTGGCGATCGAACCAAGCCTCGCGGAAACGCATCCCTTACTCTTGCGTCTCCTTTTGCGTGCAGCTCACGCGTGACTTTACATAATACCCCCCAAACTGAAAATTTTTCGCAGGCTGGTCTCCATTATGTTACTTACGTAAAAGTTGCATGATCAAACGGTACAAAGACCATTAACTACTTCCCTTACGGCAAAGTATCAGGTTATCGGGCCAAGATCATTGGACAGGTTTTTCATTTAAAAGGTGTTAATGCAAATGTACCTGTACCAAACAGTTCAAACAAGGTCGACGGTATTCCTCATGCATGCTGTCCAATAAATGTGCAGTTCACCAGAGAGTCATGTTGTACACAGTCAAGGTCAATGGGTATGATACTCTGAAGGAGAGGGGGGGGGGGGTCCAAACCTTCTGCCTTCCGTACCTTGAATTCTCATATTGCCCCTCTTTTTCTTGGCTTCCTCCCTTGATACGTTTTTCGACTTCAAAATATTAAGACAGTATTGTTGAGCAGTTTCCCCTATTTTTCCCAATTCCCGTCCTTTTAGAGCTTCCGCCTCCCGCATCCCTCCCACCTCCTATTCTCCTGGAGTCCCACTGTGCTGGCTTCCCCTACAACGATGTTAAAGTTAGTGATACAAAACACGCGGGGGACTCCCATATGAAAGAGGCGGGGATGCTCGTCTGAAATTTTGAATTAAACCCCTAAAGGAGACCAATCTGGGCGTGGCCCAACCTTTCTTTTTTCACCCTAAAAGAGACCATGTTAAACTTTGATTACATAAATCGAGTAAATAAAACAAATTGAAAATATATAATTTTTTTAAAATTCTTCGCATGAAACCCTAAAAGAGACCTTTATGGCTAAATATAATGGGGTTTTGCCCAGAACACCCTAAGTGAGACCAAAATCCGAAATTTACACCCCTAAGCAAGACGACGACCAGCCCGGTCCCATTAATGTGGGAGTCCCATATGAAAACGTTACTACACCTCTTCAACTTCATCCAGTCGCTGGGAGAACTTTGAAACAAAGTCATAAATATCATCCATCAAACCGAGTGGCATATCCTGAATGAAGAAGACAACAAATACCAAAATAAAAAATGAGATAATAATAATTTAGAGATGGGTAAGGCATTCTACAGTGCAGGAGCAGCGACAGGAAAAAAATCTATCTATAAAAGATGCCAGCTTCTTCCCACAAGGTAGTGATCCACCTTCGGATGGCAGCCAATAGGCAGATTGCTTGCTAATACTTTGTAATTAAATTACTGATATGTTGAGGTGACAATGCAAGGAAAGATTTAAAAACAATATTAAAAGCATCTTAAAAGAGATACAAAACGTCACTCGTAGCCACTGAAGTTCACATCGCTGAAACAATAAATAATGTCAGGAGGTTTGCTAAACACTTACCAATGCCACTCCACCCGGTCTGACATAGGCTGCATGCATGCGGGCACCAGAAACTCTTTCATAAAACTCCATCATCTGCAGCAAACATAGCATACAAGAGAAAAACAGTCAGTGAAGTAACATATCAAAAGCGGCAAGAGGCAGTATTTCTTCTGAGATCCAGAGGAGAAGAAGAAGTGGCGGGAAAAAACAAGGCACAGCCAAGCTTTTTTTTGCAGACCGACTTTGAGGATGTCTGGGAATTAGCCTGAGTAGCAGGCGCTTGGATGTATTGGGTGAAAGAGAGAACGGGCACGCGTAAGGGAACACACGTTTTTTCTTGTGCCCACTACTTCCAAGCGCCTGGGAATCAGATGAGGCCCTGTGTTGAGTCCATCAGGAGCCAATATCCTAGAGGGAGCAACTTTCATTTACACAAGTCGCGGCTTTTTTACCTGAGCAATTTACTTTTAGTATGGTTTTGGCCCAAATATTGGTCAAGTATTCCCCCCCCCCCCTGTATTTGTATCCCACCCACCGGAGAGAGAAGCCAAAATTTACCTGACCTGACACTATACATGTACCATGTGCTACAAAACACTAAGAGTGATCAGAATGAAATTTCTAATTATAATGGAAGAAGATCAGTCTGATATTTCAAAAAATTCTCCAAACTGCTTCTATTGAAAAATTATAGGGACAGTAAATGAGAATCTCAATTTTGATATTAGGGTTTATTTAGATACTGACTGTAGAGTCGTATAGAAATGTTATTACCTTTTCTCTCTCTTCAAACATCCAGAAAAATGGGGTCATGGCACCCACGTCAAGAGCATGTGTGGTGACGCCCATAATGTGATTCAGTATTCGGGTGATTTCACCAAACAACACTGAAAAAAGCAAGCAGACACCATGGTTGTTAATTTAAAGGCCGCAAAATTAACTCAATGTGCAAAGCACTTAAACTTTAATAACAACAATTTTTAAGATCAAGCCAATCAGAAGTTGGAAATTCAGCAACTTTTTACACATGTAACCTGTCATTATGTTTTAGTTCTTGAAATAAAAGGAAGTGTTTACATTTACAAAAACGTTGCGCTCCCACGAGACTGACTTGTTGAAAGAATGAAATGAATGAAGACTTGAGGATGAGAGGACAACAGACATCCCCACTTACAATACATTTTAACATGTGAACAGTAAGCTTGGACATCAGCATACAAAGGCGCCACTGGCAGCCACTCCCAGTCCATTTGTGAGCTTACTGTACTCACCCAACCCGTGATGTGAATGATGTGATGAGTGAAGGTTGACCACAACACCGGAGTCTACGTCCTCTGCTCTTTTCGAACAGTGGTGTGGGTTCTTTTACCTCCCTCAAGAACCAGATAAGTGCAAGTGCTGTGAGACGGGACCTACAGTTTTTCGTCCTTATCCGAGAAGACTAGAAAGTCTAACCATTTGCAGATGTCATTACAAAGGCAGCACTTTCTTCTCAGTTATTTAAAGACCCTGACTGTTGGTTTCGGCCAGGGTTCAAACCCGTGACCTCCCACTCAGCAGGCCGGCACTCTCCCAGCTCAGCTAACCAGGTGGCAATACAACAATAATTATGTTACAGCAATATGAAATCCTAATAATGTGACGGTTTAATTGGCTACTTAGTACTACTTTTTTGTGGTACCTTTTATAAAATTGTGCCGTTAAAAAAGGTTGTTCTCACTTGTGAATCTGTGAGAGAAATGCCATGGTGAAACCATTCAAATAAAAGTTACAGAGCAGTGCTTTCCTGCGGTACTGTTTAATATGCTGTACAAGGTGTTTCTTACTTTTGAGTCTCTGGATGAAAATTATCCTAAAGTGTGACCATTCAAACGGAAGCTACTGAGCATTACATTCCTGTGGTACTGTTTGTTGAAAGCTGTACAAAGTGGTTCTAACTTTTGAATCTGTGGGAGAAATGCTATGGTGAACCATTCCACCAAAACCTCATGACAGCACTCACTCAAGGCTTTTTTGTTGATCAGTATTCTACAAAACAAAATTGGGATTTAATTTTCAAAATTTTAATTGGGGAGCAATGGGGTTGTACTCGAGAATGTAAAAGAAATCCATCACCGCACCTCTGATCCATTTGGCTCTTTCTGGAATTTCGATATTCAAGAGTCTCTCCACAGCTAGAGAGTAACACTGTTCATTTGTCATCATAGAAACATAATCCAGACGATCAAAGTATGGTAAGGCCTGAAACAACAGAAACACATAGTATTGGGGATATAATTTTCTTTAGTAAAATCCAACTAGTGGTCTATTATCAACGCTGCATTCTGATTGGTTGAGCTACTACTAGGCTATATGTTATAGCCCACTAGTAGCGAAAAGGGCGGGCTTTTTGGTGGCAAAAAAGGATTAAAGTCCAGCTTTAACTAGCTAAAATTTTTTATTCTCGATATTTTTTACCAACTAATTGGATTTTACTAAAACAATTATTCCTCTCGCCCTCATGGCCTCTGAGTCAATAGCCCATTTAGCCTTCAGCCTCATGGGCTATTGACTCAGAGCCCAGTACTGGGGATATAATTTTCTTTAGTAAAATCCAACTATATGTTATAGCCCACTAGTAGTGAAAACCGCGGGCTTTTTGGCCGCAAAAAAAGATTAAAGTCCAGCTTTAACTAGCTAAAATTTTTTTTATTCTCAATATTTTTGACCAACTAGTTGGATTTTACTAAAACAATTATTATTCCTCTCTCCCTCATAGCCTCTGAGTCAATAGCCCATTCGGCCTTTGGCCTCATGGGCTAATGACTCAGAGCCCATTCGGGCTTGAGGAATAATTGTTAAATATATCTCACTTTGACTCCAGCTTCTTATTACAACATCTCAGAAGCACTCATAATAAGGAGCTATACAATAATTATTTTGCAATACAACAACTTCATGCTTTTTTGTATATTTCTTTGCCATCACTGCATGACTATCACGTGAATCTTCCTAATTTCATGTTTTATGGAGAACGCGAACACAAGACAATAATTTTCTTTTTGTTTTTGCGAACTTAGATACAGTCATTTAGAATTCCACTCCTGAAAAATTGCCTACATTTGTCAAATTAAAGGAGTTGGAATAAGAGCAATGAAGTTTAAAACAACACGAATTCACTTTTGGGTGGCGTTTTTGCTGCCATTGCCGTTATCATTGCTTAAGCTCCCTAATAATATTACAGTCCTTTTCCTGTAAAACAGAAACGTTTACGGCATGTATCAGGAATACTTTCTATAGTAGAGATGTGGCAACATTTTTTGGTTACATCCAAATACAATCATGGTTCATATAAATCTAAAACTATATTTTTCAAGGACATTTTAAGTACAAATTCCATTTTTCTATAAACTTGGCTTTTGCACAATGAGATGCAACTTACTCCTAAACTCTAGCAAATTACAAGTACTTGATGTTTTGTAAAGAAACACATGAAATACAACACAAAACTTCACCCTGACGAAGGGCTAACACTTGACTTTCAGCCTCTTTATCTCCCTACAATGGACAAATCCATCTACCCGTACCTTACTAATTCAGTTGATAAAACAAAACCTCAAAACCCCCAATGACCCATCGAAACGTTGCAGTTTCCATAAAAACTAACCCCTTGATACAAAACTGGAAAAAAATTAGTCACAGGAAATTAAAGGGCAATAAACCTTGGAATCAAGGCCTGTGCAAAAAATGATCATCAAGTAACCTCCTTGATGTGGGCACCAAAGTGACTGGGCCAAATATACCTTCACAGTGGGGTCTGTATTATAGAAGTAAAGATTGTATGAAGTTTAGCACCTCTGAGTACAATCTTGAGAACTATAGTTTATTCATTTTTCCAGTTTTTTAATTCCTGTACCTGTAGATATGTCTTGTACTCAATCAGCTTCTCAGTGGCGCGATGCAGGAGTCCAACGTGAGGGTCTGCACGAATGACAACCTACACAAAATGCAACGCAAAAAATCTCAGCATCTTACTGAAAGCAAAACTATGCATGAAAAAATATTGTTTGATGCTTGTGGGTTTGTCAAAGAGACTCATATAATATGTGTAGTGAGAACTGTATTACAGTAAACATCTGCTAATAAGAACCAGGCCTGGGTTGTTCAAATGTTGGATAGCGCTATCTACCAGATAAATCACTAACCAGCAGATAAGTATTAGGGAAAACAATTGCGTTATCCACTTGATGGATTTTTATCTGCTGGATAGCATTATCTACTGTTTGAACAATCGGGACCAGTGGTTTAAGAACCTGGCAGAAATTTAGCAGTTTAATAACCAAAAATATAGCAACCTTTTTTGTTAAGCAAAACCAAGCAGTTTCTTATATATGGATGACAGATAAATTATGATAAACATTTTAACCAAAGAGTTTGACTGTGAGATTGCCAATTGATATTACAAGAAAATACTGTACCAAACTGCAATTACAAATAAAAGTATTACTTTAATATATTCCTACAAACAAAAATAGGTTTAAAAAGTACAGTTTCTAATTGTCTTCATGGACCTAGTATGAAGAAGGTTTGCAATATACAGATGCGACTGTATATTCAAGGACCAAACTCAAGTTTCTTTATATTTCTGGTAGTCAACAACTATGTCTCCTTCAAAAAAATTAAGAACCTAATTAAGAACCTACTAAGCCTAAATTGCCAATAACTACCTCAAAATAGAAAAACGCAGGTGTTAACCGTACTAGCAAAAAGGGTGAGCCAATTAGAAATGGCGAAATGTTTTGAATGAATAATAATTGAAGGATTTCCTAGAAAATGGGTGCTAGTGACTGTTTACTCTAGTAAACACAGCACCCTTTTTCTAGGAAACCCTTCAATTATTATTAATATTCTCACTTGTACATACTACCTCGTTATGGAATTTGTTATAATAATATAATATAAATATAAACTTTATTTCTATAGCATGTATATCACTAGCTGCTCTAGGCGCTTTACAATATTACAAAAAATGTTTTAAGATACAAATAAATTACAACAATAGGAATAAAAATAATGGTAGTAATAATGATATCAAAAAAACAAATAACTGTCCAAGCGCATAAATATATCTTCAACTCAGAAAATCAAACAATTACACATATAAGTATGAAAATCAAATAAAAATCTATTTACATATTAAGGAAAAGTTTGGAAAAATAAATTAATATGTCTTTAAGTGTTTTTTTGAAGGAATTAAAGGAATTGGCATTTCTTAAAGATGCTGGTACGCTGTTCCATTTTTTAGGTTCTGCAATAGAAATTCTTCGATCACCATAAGACTTTAGCTTAGATCTCGCGACTTGAAGTAATTTATTCGAGTAAGAACGCAAAGAGTAGAAGCTGTTACAAAAACTGAGCAAATTGGATATATAACTTGGTGGAAATCCATTGATAGCCTTATATACTAACAAAAGGATTTTATAAATAATATGGTATTCAACAGGCAACCAATGTAAGTCTGTTAAGCTGGGAGTAAAATGTTCATACTGTACTTCTTGGTGAATGTTACAATACGCGCTGCTCTATTCTGAACTAGCTGTAGGCAGTTTAAGAGAACTTTAGGTAGTCCATATAGAATTGCATTACAGTAATCCAAGTTGGTAGTCATACAAGCATGAATAATAGCTTCAGTAGATTCATGATCCAAATATGTTCTTATCTTACTAATAATTATAAGTTAAATGGAAATGACATGTCTTACATAGATATATTGATAAGGGGAAGCCTGTCATCATAGGATAGATCATGTACTTTCAAATGCCACTCAAGGTGAAAACCATGAGATGGCTTCCTCTTTCCAATTGCCACTCATTATTAGTCCTAGAGACCTTTCACAAAATATCCCCAGCAAGGAGTCAGGGGCACCAAACGTCAATTTTCGGAAAATATCTGTTCGGAAGTAGGGGAAGACGATTTGAGATCTAGAATTTTTGGAACATTTGTTGCAAAAATTTCTTGCTTGCCTGCTTCTCCTAGGATTTTTGAACATCTAAAAAATGGTATGATTGCCCATTTTTAACGGATTTTTACTGTCAAAAGGTCACCTAGAATTTTCAGAATTCTTTTTTCTGGCTGAAAATTTTTGAAAAGGTCAGTTTTGCTCCCTATAATTTTCGGATCACTAGACTTTCAGCTAGGAAATCCGAACAGATGAAAAATTTTTAGGGGATAAAAATATGCCTATATCTACCGCTTAAATACCAAAATACATTTAACGATGCTATGTTTAAGTGGCTTTGAAATATATTCTCGTTGGGTGCCCCTGGGGAGTGATCTTGCTGAGTTGCAGCTACCATATTTCCTCGAATAATAGCCGTCCCTTGATTAATCATCTCCCTCAAATAATTGCTACCTTAGACGGAAATATTTAAAATAATCACCTCTCTTCAATAATCACCCCATCTACAACTCCTGTAAGTCAGCATTGACACTTACTTCTCATTTAGGGCAAAATTGTGACTTAGGGGACAGGTAGGTGGTCAGTTTCCCAGAAACCTAAAAAGATCCAAAAGAACAATACCTCTCCGTCAAGTTCGAGAACCAGTCGCAATACACCATGAGCTGCTGGGTGTTGGGGTCCAAAATTCACCTGCATATTTGTTAAAATCTTTTCTTGAGCAGGAACTACAAAATAGAAGAATGATAAAGAAAATGATCCCCAATTAAAACACTAACTCTCCTCTTCAGTACCAAGGAAAATGTATAGAGACAAGTTAGGAGAATTTACTTTTTGATAACAGGGTTAACACATACCATCTACATCCCACTTTGCAGACTCTTCATCAGGGTACATGACTGTTCCTGTCATTGATGCTAGTACACCTGGCAGCTTTAGCGGTTTGTTCTCATCTTCAACCTCACTCTCAGGGAGTCGCCGCAGGTAACTGGTAAGAGTAATAAACAACAAATCTTGTTACACCTCCAAATTCAATCTTGTTCCCCAGTTGGATGAGAACATGTCAATAATAAAATTGTAATGTGCCAAAAATAACACCATAGAATTAACAAATTCACTCCCACATGATGCATGGTTCAATTTGACCTGTTACCATTCCCCCCCAGGACAAGTCCAGCCCTTTGGTCCTGGGGGTGGGGAATTGTTTAAGGCGGTCCTGTTGTGGGGGTGAGAGGTGGGGCAAATAAAAAATAACTTCTCTCTGATTTTACGTAGTACATGTCATTTCTAGTATAGTTTGCATGAAGCTGTGGAACTGAAGGCTACGTATTTGAAGGTATGTTTTAAAATTTCCACAGGCCATCCAACCTTATGAGTGTGGAATAAAAATTTACTTTCTCACAAGAGAAGCTAAGCTAAGAGCCAGGCGCCGGCTAATTTACCCCCAACTGAAAAAGACCTTATCACCAGTTCAAATTGCTCTAGAGAACAAAGACATGGAGTAATTTTGAAGGTGTAGTTGAGTAAAAACCCTGCTTGACTTATAAAAAAGCCTGCTGAGCTTTCCTTGGCTACATCCCTGACATTACAGGCAGCCATTCAGACATTGTATGAGAAAATAAAATACTGATGTCTATAAACGCAAAATATTCATTGATTCAATCGTCTTTTTTGACCCTTATTGTGTGACCCCTGTAACTCCCTTCATAATACAGAGTAAAGGCTGCACAGAGAAATAGCCTGCAGTTCGGACCTTGTCTACTTGAAGGCAGTTTGCAGCCCAAAAACCTACTGAATCGCAGATTTTTTTACCAGAGGTAAAGTTCTATCATCACTACACCTCAGTAAATGTTTAAAAGCGAAATATCCCCACGCATGTTGGTGGAAAAGAGGTCAAATTGAACCATGCATTATGTACCTTGAAAATGGCTTCCACCATTCTGTTTCTGTTGGCTAATCTTTTGGAAAAATATCAACATTCGTTTGCGGGGTTATCCTGTTTACTCTTTTTAGTCTATTCAGCTGATTTGGCGCCATTTTAAAGTAGCAAATCCTTCTTCCATGAGTTAAATTTAATCTTGAATGTACTTCAGAATACCCTGCCACTCATTTGCATCTCGTTGATTGACAAAAGCCATTGTTTTGTAATGCTTTTATTATTACTGTCATAATAAAATATTAGAAAATATAGATTACAGTTACTAAGGGGAAGCAAACAGACAAGCAGAAGACTTGACTAAATATAACGAGCACACACAAAAACTTCTGTAAGGTGATGTAGTCCTTCAGACTTCATAAAGAGTCCTTAATCCTCCGTTCTTTCAAGTCTTCCCAACTGAATGACAGCTGAAAATTTTTCCGCATGTTGTCCTAACCATCCAACGTTTAACAAAAGAAACAAAACCTTCTTCAAAGTCAAGTATTTCAGTGTCAAGCTAGCAGTCAGGCACTGTGTTTTTGAGCTGCAGTTCTGTTGTTACATAACGTGAAATTCCAAGCTGTTCTTGGCCCGCAATGCGTCTTTACCCCCCGGAACATAACTAAAAATATAAAAGAATATATCTACCGAATAGATGAAACCACGGGCACTCGATGAAGAAGTGATTTGCGTTGAAATAGGCGAGTAAAGTGTCGAACAGCCGCCATCTTGAAATCTTCTTATCCAGGCATTAGTACCCAGTCCTAGCCATAACAAACCGTCCAGGCCCAGGAGTTGGGCCCCTATTTAGACAGGAGCCGATTAGAGCAATTGTTTGCTACATTCAACACGAGTAAGTGAGGCCAACTTTGCAAATAAAACCTACAGACTTCAACAAGTCGGGGTTCTAGCAGTAGACAGATGCCACAATAATAGAAGATGATGATGTAAGATGCCACAATAATAGAAGATGATGATGTAAGATGTAATGAAATTCTCGCACGCCAAATTGCCGTTTTCGATGATAGCCAAATCAAACCTTTAAGAAAACGTGGGCAAAGCCTTGTTAAGGTGTATGTACATATTGGCTCCAAATACATCTACGCCTTAAAAATACATAAACTGCTGGTAACAAGTAAAAAATGACTGCGAAAATGCATGGGAGATTATTAAAAAGCGCTGGGGGAGGGTAAGGGGAGCAAACTTTTCCAAAAGTAAGAACTAATTTCCAATTGGTAATAACACACACCTTCCCCCAGCCTTTGACGTATTCAGTCCTAAAGGAGGGAGGGGTGAGAGAGAGAGTAGTTTCTCTCCTTTCGCTCTCTCCCCTCCCCGTTTGACTTCTCTCTTTTTCTTCCCCCAGCCAGAACGCCTGATACTCAGGCTAGAGCGTCAATCACAAAAAAGATCAGGAGAGGAGAAGGGAAGAATATCTGCTACTATCCCCCCCTCCCCCACCTAAGAGGCTAAAAATAGATGGGCTAATACGGCCTACGTGCTTTATCCAAAGTATGCATGGGACGTAATGGTCAGGGAAAAAACCGTGTTTTTGGACCAAATCCTCCTTTATGAACCGTTCTTTACCCACCTAGCATGGGAATGGTTGAAAAGGAGATTTCCAGCACTAAGGACATAATTTTCTACTTCTTGGACGTAATTAAGCATTTAAAATTTTGAAGCAGCTTTTTCGTTTTTCGCACATACACATAAGTCAGTTTTTCGAACCTATTTCAATTTTTTTTCTGGAATCTCTTCTTTTTTCATTTGCCTTTCTTTCTATAGCCAGTTTTGTTGCCCACTTTATCGTCTTTCTTTGTCACGAAGTTTGGCTGCCTTTCTTTCCAACAAAGGGAGAAATTTCATCTGTAAAGGGTAGTCGGTAAATAACAAAATTGACACTGGATTTTTTCCCCCTGATCCAGGTCTACTAAAGATCTGGCGGACCCTCGCAGGTTTTGTGGTTTTACCTCCACAAGTTTTTTTCTCAAATGTTGCTTGTTTTTTTTGTCTGTAACTCTGTCAGGATTTTTCAAAATGTGCTAAATAAGGTATCAGCGGAAAGCTCTATGGTTGCTGATTTTGCTTATTATCATCTCAATAACTTAAGTGGAAAGCTTAATGGGTCCAGGAGAAATAGTATGCAAAGGTCCATTTCATGGACCAAAACGACTAAAGCGGACGACAAAGAGTATAGCGAGCTGAAACTAGTTGACCTACAATTGTACTCGACAAAACAATAGCTGATTTGTTGTATGACCAAGCCACTGAAATATATTAAAATATGGCTATGTTTATGAATGTTTGTGAAAAGAGAATCTAGCGCCCCCACCGGATACTCATAAAGGTAGAGTAGAGGATAAATGTTCCTGTTTTTCCGAGAAAGATTCTATATAACTTTCTGTTCAAAGTCCAATTTCTCCCGCTTTACCTAGCTTATACTAAAAGGTTTGTAACATAAAAGAATTCTTTCCACATCAAAACAGATGCCTTGTTGCCAATACAATGCTCTTTTGTTCCTTTGAAGCAAGATATCGCGTGATCAATGGCCGTTTCAAGTGCCTCATTCCCAGACGTTGGCGTCATTGATTATTAAGTAGCCGCACCCTGATATCAGCGTCCACTCGATCGCCCCACATCTTCTGAAGCAAACATCTACTTAACAGCTCTCAAAAACAGGTTTGTTTCTTTGGATTTGACACATTTACAAATAACTATGCGGTGTGTAGCAGTCTTTGCAAAGAAAGTCAATTTTGTGTGTGTGTAATTAAACTGTCTATGCATTGCAAGATCATTTATGTGCATGCCGCTTGGTACAAGTGACGTTTTATAGTATAACTTTCACCCAGAATGAACAGAAATGATCCGCCGGAAAATGCCAGTTTGATCACTGCGATGAAAGGAAATGTCAGATAATCCACATCAAATTTCGCTTCAGTATCTCCCTTGTCCGGCGTGTTTAACTTGCTGTGTATCGGGGAAGGGAAATAGGCCTCCGATATGTATGATTACTATTAGTAAGAGATAATGAGCATTCTCTCTTGGTATTATTACTTGATCTTCCATTTCCTCAATTTTGGATTTATTAGATCATATGCACTTTCTATCGATAACATAATCCGATTTTTTAACGACTTTTTATGTGCTCATAAAAGACTTAATTAAGATGAAATATTTCGTCCATAAATAGCCCAGTAACAATGGACCGTTCAGGGGTTACGTAAAAGCATGAACCGGGTATGCATGAAAAATTATCAGACGGTGATGTCACTTCAAACCATTTTTGTCCCTAGCCTCTACAATGTAGTGTGAAACCATTGCAGCATTACTGATTAGACTTAAATAACATAGAACTGCTCTGATTCTTAATTTTGTTTCGCTAAGATCGCGTGACTTTAGAGAAAAGTTCACACGGATTCGCGTGAACTATCCGATGGTATTGACTCCACCCACTATACAATGGTTTAGTTCTCGGTCGATGCCTTCAATCAGATTTTCTCTCTCCGTGTCTGGACGTATTTACACTTAACTTCAAGTTGTAAAGGAATTTTCTACAAGAAAAATGAGTAGTAAAAAATGTGTAGTAAATGAACCAGTTAAGAACCGATCAACTTAATAGGCGAACTCGGGATTTTAATTTCACGACATCACGTGATATTATGTCTCTCAAAATAGGTAAGCCGCGTTTGTGTGGAATGTAATGACAAAATGAAGCAAAATGGACAAGTCTATGATATTAAGTGGCGTAATTCTGTCTAAATTCCAATAGTGTATTTCCTTGTCCCAAGGGTCGTAATTAATTCTGTAAATCAACAGGATTCTGTTAACAATCATGATCAATAACTGAATTGCGACACAGGAAGTATCGAGTAACTTCAGGACCTTAAAAAGTAAAGTCATCCGTTCTATTTTTAGTCAAACTCGGCTTCCAAGCCTTGGTAAAGTTAGTTGGTTCATATCACCTAGGATTTCTCATATCCATTTAGTTCTACAAGGTCGGCAGAGTTCCTGAAGCTCGACTGTACACGTAGAAGACTTGCAAGTTGATTTATATCGCCAATGAATACGAAAATCGATAATTAAAAGGGGCATGAAAGTAAGCGGATAACAGCGAGTAACCTATCTTTAATCAGCCAAATCGCAACGCAATCCAAGGCGATAGTTCTCTCGTTCACATCTGTACTTTCTCTTCCACTCTCAGCGCCTTCACAAATTTCAGTTTATTTCAAGCTGGAAAGGAATTTGTCAAAAAAGAGAAACCTCATCATTGAACTCGCGAAGGTATGGGATCATATCGCTATGCATGTCAACGATAGCGTCGTGTCTATTTCTGGTTTTCTTTTGAAGAAACACGTTCTTAATGTCTTGTCTTTCAATAAATGTAAACCGGTTTTGAAATGAAATACAGCAAAAACACCTGACAAACTCGAGTAACCAAACGAACTGATGTAGTTATAATTCGCGTGATCATTGTTGTATACGTATTCCATCATTGTTATATAAAGAATCTTCTTAAAGTCTATACTGAAATGGAAAATTTCTTTTAGTCATAATCAATGACTGCTTCTTTCATAGGAAACAATCGCGCGTTACTTGGCTCCCAGCAAAGACCTCTGAGATTCGTTTTCTCTTCCGATTTTATCCAAGAGTTAACCAAATCACTTCTTGAGGTTTGTTTTAGATTTTCGTCTACTTATTTCAATAAATTTGTTTCACACCCTTTACAATGGCACAGTACATACCCATTTAAGGTCTGGCCGAAAAAGGATGTGTCCACCCGGAAGCATCTTTCGACAACGATCTTTTGTTGTTTTGACGTCAGCAGTACCTTATTAATTCCCAGTTGACGTCAATCAACCGAAAACTCCTTCATACTATTCTGAGACAAGCAGCTTACTTCCCTGCCGCTCCCGAAAACAGGTTTGTCTGTAGCATGATATCTCTGTTTTGGATTTAAAGGCGTTAAGAACAAATCGATATTGCAGCTGATTTCATTGCTATGTATACACCCGGATTTTCAGACATGATTCGACACTAATCACGTGACGTATCGCTTCGCAGTACGTAAAGGGTTGCAAAAATAATTGAGAGTTCTGCCGTGGGATCCGAAACAGTGAGAGAAAAATCTGGCTGGCAAGGAAAGCTTAGCACTAAAGGACATAAGTGTAACGAAGCTAGAATCCCGACAAATGCGTTTTACCTGAAGAGGAAAGCTTTGTTGCCTGGAAGGCAGCGACATGATACAGAAATTATGATAACATGTGATCAGGTGATAAACCTGGAGTTCGATTGCCGAGTTCGAATGTATTTATGTAGACGATTTCATAATGGACGAAATATTATCAATACGGCGAAAAGCTAAATAGTCCGATGGTTTATCGTTTAGTCTTCTTCCGTTTGACAAGGTTTCGGTATTTTGCAGTTGGTGAATACCACCTGCAATTTACATGTAACAGTGATGCAAATTTAGTTAACAGGAAGGCAAATTTGTATTTCTTCAAGCTAGTACTTTTTAGTCCTTACTTAGCTTCTGCATGGTTAAAAAATAACAGGAAAACTTGACGTTTTACGGAAGAAATCAACAGATAAATTGATCAGTCTGCCGTTGTGAAAGAATTTGCTGGAGAGTTTGAAAGTTTTGTTTTGTCAACCATTGAAAAATATCACAATGTTCGGTCCTCCACCTATGCCCCCAGTGACCACAAATAAAGAGAACCATACATAAAAGAAAGCACATTTGCTTTTTTTTGAAAAAGGGTATTGTTTGTCTTTACCCTAGGCTGTTAAGTAAGACTTAAGAGCTGCTAAGTTTTACTTAACCAAAAATTAGTGTGTGAAGACCTAAGTAAAATCTCAAGTAACTTTACTTTGTATCTCATTAAATTAAAGTCGGAAAGTTGAAACGATTCAAGAAAGTTTCAAGCGACTTGAAAACCATCCCTTTTTTTTAGCTGACTTGCGGTTTCTTGAGCTTTGAGAAAGGCAAAACATGTCAATCAATCTTAATTATGGTGCGTGGGAAAATGACCTTAGTTAACATGAAGTAAAAAAGAATCGGTTGTGTGTGAAGCTTTATTTTACTTGAAGTAATTAAAATTTACTTGTCTTGAAATATTTCTTAGCTTATTTAGGCTCTATTGTAAAGACTACCAATTGATCGAGAAGTCCACCCGTCCTATAACATGTATTGCGATTAATTAGATTGCATGACGTTGCATGAGAGGCTGTTGTCTGCAAAGGAGAACAAATTATGGATTACAGTCTTCTTTTTCTGAATTACTCGAGAAACATGCAAGCTATCATTAAAGTAACTTTTAGATTGTGTGCTTTGATTCCTGTAGGATATTCAAGGTAAAATACTGTACTGCTTGGTAACCTCTCGGTCGAATCATGACGGTCGACATCATGTCTAAAAATCAGGGTGTATACACAGCACTGAAATCAGCTGTAACTTTTCGGACAATATTGTATCTGTTAAGGCAAATTCCTTCCAAACTCAATGATCTCGACCGTTAGTGGTGCTCGCATCGTCTGATCATCTTCAAAATACTTGGCTTTGGTAGAATTGATAGTCCTCATCAAAGTCATCAAAATATCAGTGTGTTTGTTCGTTTATCGAGTGCAGGTTCTGGTTGTTTGCGAGGGCTTCAATATCTCCCTTGTCCGGAGTTTTAACTCACTTTTCAAGTAACACTGGAAGGGGAAATCAGCCCAATAAAGCCGCTGCTATTTAGTGTTAGTACTTGATCTCGGACCATTTCCTCAACTCGGTTTTCGATCAAGTCATGTTCTTTCTATCGATAACATAGTCAGGCCTTTTACGACTTTTTATCTGCACTTCTAAGACTTGAATAAAGTCAAATATTTCGCCCATAAATAGACCTGTAACAATGGACCCTTCAAGAGCTGTGAACGTCAAAGCATGAACAGTACGTAATTAAAATGTTAACATTAGACGGTGACGCCGCTTTTGGCCGCTTGAGCTTAGCGTCTACAATGTAGGCAGTGGAGTGAGCCCAGCATTACTGAATAGACATAGATAGCATAGAACTGCTGTGATTCTTAATTCTGTTTCGCGAAAATCGTGTGACTTCGGGAGAAGAGTTCACAAGATTCGTGTGATATCGCTATTCCTGTCTTATCGACAAACAGCACTAACTCTATGTCTTTCAATAAATGTAAACTGGTTTTCACTTTTGAAATGAAATACAGCAAAAACAACATATAGCCAAACGAACTGATGTAGTTATATTAGGCTTATTTTAAATTCGCGTGATCATGGTTAGGTTATTGATAGACCATTGTCGTATTGAAGAGTCTTCTTGAAGTATAGAAATCAACCTAAACCCCTTCTACATTGAAATGCAAAATTTATTTTATTCATTATGGTTTAAAATGACTGCTTCTTTCAAAGGAAAGAATCCTGTTACTTGGCTCCAATCAAAATCACCTCTGAGCTTCGTTTTCTCTTCCGCCTTTATCCAACAGTTGACCAAATCACTTCTTGAGGTTTGTTTTAGATTTATTTACTTACATTTTAATAAATTTAGAGCTCACTTGCTTCAGGGCAATTTTTGTTTGGGGTTGTACTTTGCCCCCTTTTTGCTAGCTGCGTATTCTTGCGATCACAATGCGTATAAAAATTCTATTTCTCCGCTTAGAACCTAACAAATCTCCTTGGTTACTTCACAACACTTAGGCCACACCTTAGAGACGGGCACACTTCGTACGACTTCCTTCAAACCTCCTTTCTGTTTTTAAGCAGCTGAAACAAGTTCCTTTTTTATCTTTAGTTTAACGCTGGAAACATCTGCACTTGGAAAGAGGTACTTTCTACATTTTTATGGTTTTTAATAACAAAGGATAATTTAACCAGAGCAGCCTCTATAGCTGCGTGCATGGAGAATCATGGCGCAATCAGTCGGTGTCCTTCTGTACGCATTTTCTGATCTATAAAATTCTCAAATAGTTTCTAATGTATCGCTCTTTTTGTATGGCTGGTAAAAATAATTTTCCTCATGCACATCTCGTGGAGCACTTCAAGGAGGGAGGGGTAAGAGAGAGAGTTGTTTCTCTCTCTCCGGTCTCTCCCCTCCCCGTTTGACTTCTCTCTTTTCCTTTCCCCAGAAACACCTGATACTCAGGCTAGAGCGTCAATCACAAAAAAGATCAGGAGAAGAGAAGGGAACAATATCTGCTACTATTCCCCCAGCCCGCCCCCACTAAAGAGGCTAAAAATAGATGGGCTAATACGGGCTACGTGCTTTATCATTCAAAGTTGGCATGGGGCGTAATGGTTAGGATAAAAACGCATTTTGAACCAAATCCTCCTTTATGAACCGTTCTTTACACAGTTAGCATGGGAATGGCTAAAAAAGAGACTTCCAACACTAAGGACATAATTTTCTACTTATTGGACGTAATTAAGCATTTAAAATTTTAAAGCAGCTTTTTTGTTTTCCCCGCATGCGCATAAGTCAATTTTTCCAACCTATTTCAATTTTTTCTCGCTCTCTTCTTTTTTCATTTGCCTTTCTTTTTATAGCCAGTTTTGTTGCCCACTTTATCGTCTTTCGTTCTCACGATGTTTTGGCTGCCTTTCTTTCCAACAAAGGGAGAAATTTAATCTGTAAAGGGTAGTCGGTAAATAACAAAATTGGCACTGGATTTTTTCCCCTGATCCAGGTCTACTAAAGATCCGGCCGACCCTCGCTGGTTTGTCGTTGTGGTTTTGCCTCCACAAGTATTTTTCCCCAAATGTTGCTTGTTTTTTTGTCTGTAACTCTGTAAGGATTTTTCAAAATGTGCTAAATAAGGTATCAGCGGAAAGCTCTATGGTTGCTGATTTTGCTTATTACCACCTCAATAACTTAAGTGGAAAGCTTAATTGGTCCAGGAGAAATAGTATGCAAAGGTCCATATCATGGACCAAAACGACTAAAGCGGACGACAAAGAGTATAGCGAGCTGAAACTAGTTGACCTACAATTGTACTCGACAAAACAATAGCTGATTTGTTGTATGACCAAGCCACTGAAATATATTAAAATATGGCTATGTTTATGAATGTTTGTGAAAAGACAATGTAGCGCCCCCACCGGATACTCATAAACTGGTAGAGTAGAGGGTAAATGTTCCTGTTTTTCCGAGAAAGATTCGATATAACTTTCTGTTCAAAGTCCAATTTCTCCCGCTTTACCTAGCTTATACTAAAAGGTTTGTAACATAAAAGAATTCTTTCCACATCAAAACAGATGCCTTGTTGCCAATACAATGCTCTTTTGTTCCTTTGAAGCAAGATATCGCGTGATCAATGGCCGTTTCAAGTACCTCATTCCCAGACGTTGGCGTCATTGATTATTAAGTAGCCGCACCCTGATATCAGCGTCCACTCGATCGCCCCACATCTTCTGAAGCAAACATCTACTTAACAGCTCTCAAAAACAGGTTTGTTTCTTTGGATTTGACACATTTACAAACAACTATGCGGTGTGTAGCAGTCTTTGCAAAGAAAGTCAATTTTGTGTGTGTGTAAACTGTCTACATATCCTTTCCATACTCAGTGATCATACATGCATTGCAAGATCATTTATGTGCATGCCGCTTGGTACAAGTGAC